AACCAGGATTGTTTGTGCTGTAGTGACGTCTCATCCCTCATTAAAAACATCACAGTGTGTTTCTTTGACCTTCAACATGAACCAGGATTGTTTGTGTTGTAGTGACATCTCATCCCTCATTTAAAACATCACAGTGTGTTTCTTTGACCTTCAACATGAACCAGGTTTGTTTGTGCTGTAGTGACATCTCATCCCTCATTAAAAACATCACAGTGTGTTTCTTTGACCTTCATCATGAACCAGGATTGTTTGTGTTGTAGTGACGTCTCATCCCTCATTTAAAACATCACAGTGTGTTTCTTTGACCTTCAACATGAACCAGGTTTGTTTGTGTTGTAGTGACATCTCATCCCTCATTAAAAACATCCCAGTGTGTTTCTTTGACCTTCATCATGAACCAGGATTGTTTGTGTTGTAGTGACATCTCATCCCTCATTAAAAACATCACAGTGTGTTTCTTTGACCTTCATTATGAACCAGGATTGTTTGTGCTGTAGTGACATCTCATCCCTCATTAAAAACATCACAGTGTGTTTCTTTGACCTTCAACATGAACCAGGTTTGTTTGTGTTGTAGTGACATCTCATCCCTCATTAAAAACATCACAGTGTGTTTCTTTGACCTTCATCATGAACCAGGATTGTTTGTGTTGTGGTGACATCTCATCCCTCATTAAAAACATCACAGTGTGTTTCTTTGACCTTCATCATGAACCAGGATTGTTTGTGTTGTAGTGACATCTCATCCCTCATTAAAAACATCACAGTGTGTTTCTTTGACCTTCAACATGAACCAGGTTTGTTTGTGTTGTAGTGACATCTCATTCCTCATTAAAAACATCCCAGTGTGTTTCTTTGACCTTCATCATGAACCAGGATTGTTTGTGTTGTAGTGACGTCTCATCCCTCATTAAAAACATCACAGTGTGTTTCTTTGACCTTCAGTATGAACCAGGATTGTTTGTGTTGTAGTGACATCTCATCCCTCATTAAAAACATCACAGTGTGTTTCTTTGACCTTCATCATGAACCAGGATTGTTTGTGCTGTAGTGACGTCTCATCCCTCATTAAAAACATCACAGTGTGTTTCTTTGACCTTCAACATGAACCAGGATTGTTTGTGTTGTAGTGACATCTCATCCCTCATTTAAAACATCACAGTGTGTTTCTTTGACCTTCAACATGAACCAGGTTTGTTTGTGCTGTAGTGACATCTCATCCCTCATTAAAAACATCACAGTGTGTTTCTTTGACCTTCATCATGAACCAGGATTGTTTGTGTTGTAGTGACGTCTCATTCCTCATTAAAAACATCACAGTGTGTTTCTTTGACCTTCAGTATGAACCAGGATTGTTTGTGTTGTAGTGACGTCTCATCCCTCATTAAAAACATCACAGTGTGTTTCTTTGACCTTCAGTATGAACCAGGATTGTTTGTGTTGTAGTGACGTCTCATCCCTCATTAAAAACATCACAGTGTGTTTCTTTGACCTTCAGTATGAACCAGGATTGTTTGTGTTGTAGTGACGTCTCATTCCTCATTAAAAACATCCCAGTGTGTTTCTTTGACCTTCATCATGAACCAGGATTGTTTGTGCTGTAGTGACGTCTCATCCCTCATTAAAAACATCACAGTGTGTTTCTTTGACCTTCAACATGAACCAGGATTGTTTGTGTTGTAGTGACATCTCATCCCTCATTAAAAACATCACAGTGTGTTTCTTTGACCTTCATCATGAACCAGGATTGTTTGTGCTGTAGTGACGTCTCATCCCTCATTAAAAACATCACAGTGTGTTTCTTTGACCTTCAACATGAACCAGGATTGTTTGTGTTGTAGTGACATCTCATCCCTCATTTAAAACATCACAGTGTGTTTCTTTGACCTTCAACATGAACCAGGTTTGTTTGTGCTGTAGTGACATCTCATCCCTCATTAAAAACATCACAGTGTGTTTCTTTGACCTTCATCATGAACCAGGATTGTTTGTGTTGTAGTGACGTCTCATTCCTCATTAAAAACATCACAGTGTGTTTCTTTGACCTTCAGTATGAACCAGGATTGTTTGTGTTGTAGTGACGTCTCATCCCTCATTAAAAACATCACAGTGTGTTTCTTTGACCTTCAGTATGAACCAGGATTGTTTGTGTTGTAGTGACGTCTCATCCCTCATTAAAAACATCACAGTGTGTTTCTTTGACCTTCAGTATGAACCAGGATTGTTTGTGTTGTAGTGACGTCTCATTCCTCATTAAAAACATCCCAGTGTGTTTCTTTGACCTTCATCATGAACCAGGATTGTTTGTGCTGTAGTGACGTCTCATCCCTCATTAAAAACATCACAGTGTGTTTCTTTGACCTTCAACATGAACCAGGATTGTTTGTGTTGTAGTGACATCTCATCCCTCATTTAAAACATCACAGTGTGTTTCTTTGACCTTCAACATGAACCAGGTTTGTTTGTGCTGTAGTGACATCTCATCCCTCATTAAAAACATCACAGTGTGTTTCTTTGACCTTCATCATGAACCAGGATTGTTTGTGTTGTAGTGACGTCTCATCCCTCATTTAAAACATCACAGTGTGTTTCTTTGACCTTCAACATGAACCAGGTTTGTTTGTGTTGTAGTGACATCTCATCCCTCATTAAAAACATCCCAGTGTGTTTCTTTGACCTTCATCATGAACCAGGATTGTTTGTGTTGTAGTGACATCTCATCCCTCATTAAAAACATCACAGTGTGTTTCTTTGACCTTCATTATGAACCAGGATTGTTTGTGCTGTAGTGACATCTCATCCCTCATTAAAAACATCACAGTGTGTTTCTTTGACCTTCAACATGAACCAGGTTTGTTTGTGTTGTAGTGACATCTCATCCCTCATTAAAAACATCACAGTGTGTTTCTTTGACCTTCATCATGAACCAGGATTGTTTGTGTTGTGGTGACATCTCATCCCTCATTAAAAACATCACAGTGTGTTTCTTTGACCTTCATCATGAACCAGGATTGTTTGTGTTGTAGTGACATCTCATCCCTCATTAAAAACATCACAGTGTGTTTCTTTGACCTTCAACATGAACCAGGTTTGTTTGTGTTGTAGTGACATCTCATTCCTCATTAAAAACATCCCAGTGTGTTTCTTTGACCTTCATCATGAACCAGGATTGTTTGTGTTGTAGTGACGTCTCATCCCTCATTAAAAACATCACAGTGTGTTTCTTTGACCTTCAGTATGAACCAGGATTGTTTGTGTTGTAGTGACATCTCATCCCTCATTAAAAACATCACAGTGTGTTTCTTTGACCTTCATCATGAACCAGGATTGTTTGTGCTGTAGTGACGTCTCATCCCTCATTAAAAACATCACAGTGTGTTTCTTTGACCTTCAACATGAACCAGGATTGTTTGTGTTGTAGTGACATCTCATCCCTCATTTAAAACATCACAGTGTGTTTCTTTGACCTTCAACATGAACCAGGTTTGTTTGTGCTGTAGTGACATCTCATCCCTCATTAAAAACATCACAGTGTGTTTCTTTGACCTTCATCATGAACCAGGATTGTTTGTGTTGTAGTGACGTCTCATTCCTCATTAAAAACATCACAGTGTGTTTCTTTGACCTTCAGTATGAACCAGGATTGTTTGTGTTGTAGTGACGTCTCATCCCTCATTAAAAACATCACAGTGTGTTTCTTTGACCTTCAGTATGAACCAGGATTGTTTGTGTTGTAGTGACGTCTCATCCCTCATTAAAAACATCACAGTGTGTTTCTTTGACCTTCAGTATGAACCAGGATTGTTTGTGTTGTAGTGACGTCTCATTCCTCATTAAAAACATCCCAGTGTGTTTCTTTGACCTTCATCATGAACCAGGATTGTTTGTGCTGTAGTGACGTCTCATCCCTCATTAAAAACATCACAGTGTGTTTCTTTGACCTTCAACATGAACCAGGATTGTTTGTGTTGTAGTGACATCTCATCCCTCATTTAAAACATCACAGTGTGTTTCTTTGACCTTCAACATGAACCAGGTTTGTTTGTGCTGTAGTGACATCTCATCCCTCATTAAAAACATCACAGTGTGTTTCTTTGACCTTCATCATGAACCAGGATTGTTTGTGTTGTAGTGACGTCTCATCCCTCATTTAAAATATCACAGTGTGTTTCTTTGACCTTCAACATGAACCAGGTTTGTTTGTGTTGTAGTGACATCTCATCCCTCATTAAAAACATCCCAGTGTGTTTCTTTGACCTTCATCATGAACCAGGATTGTTTGTGTTGTAGTGACATCTCATCCCTCATTAAAAACATCACAGTGTGTTTCTTTGACCTTCAGTATGAACCAGGATTGTTTGTGCTGTAGTGACATCTCATCCCTCATTAAAAACATCACAGTGTGTTTCTTTGACCTTCAACATGAACCAGGTTTGTTTGTGTTGTAGTGACATCTCATCCCTCATTAAAAACATCACAGTGTGTTTCTTTGACCTTCAACATGAACCAGGATTGTTTGTGTTGTGGTGACATCTCATCCCTCATTAAAAACATCACAGTGTGTTTCTTTGACCTTCAGTATGAACCAGGATTGTTTGTGTTGTAGTGACGTCTCATCCCTCATTAAAAACATCACAGTGTGTTTCTTTGACCTTCATCATGAACCAGGATTGTTTGTGCTGTAGTGACGTCTCATCCCTCATTAAAAACATCACAGTGTGTTTCTTTGACCTTCAACATGAACCAGGATTGTTTGTGTTGTAGTGACATCTCATCCCTCATTTAAAACATCACAGTGTGTTTCTTTGACCTTCAACATGAACCAGGTTTGTTTGTGCTGTAGTGACATCTCATCCCTCATTAAAAACATCACAGTGTGTTTCTTTGACCTTCAACATGAACCAGGTTTGTTTGTGTTGTAGTGACGTCTCATTCCTCATTAAAAACATCACAGTGTGTTTCTTTGACCTTCATCATGAACCAGGATTGTTTGTGTTGTAGTGACGTCTCATCCCCCCATTCCTGGCCACACGAAGATCTGCGATCCATTCCTCAGTACCATGATACAGATGATACAGGTAAACTTTGTTGTGATACAACAACTCCCAACATTCAAGAGTTTGAATCCTTTCAAAAGGTCATCTCTGCTTGACAGAGCTTTTGCCAAAGCTTGACATTGATTCTGAAACATGTCAAGCTTTATTCAGGGAAGTGACCAGTATCCTTCGAATTGAAAAGGAATATCTGTTTTCCAAGCTTTCCAGTACACAAGGCAGTCCTACCTCAGTATCATGGTATGGGAGTTATAAAAGTCCTGGCACTAAGATCACTTGTGGAATTAGTCCTAGGCCCCGTTCCACAAAGCGATCTTAGCGCTAAGGTGATCATAACTCCCATACTTTTACACCCCGTTACGATAGTCTTAGCGCTAAGGTGATCATAACTCCCATACTTTAACACTGGCTTACGACAGTCTTAGCGCTAAGGTGATCATAACTCCCATACTTTAACACTGGCTTACGATAGTCTTAGCGCTAAGGTGATCATAACTCCCATACTTTTACACTGGCTTACGACAGTCTTAGCGCTAAGGTGATCATAACTCCCATACTTTAACACTGGCTTACGACAGTCTTAGCGCTAAGGTGATCATAACTCCCATACTTTAACACTGGCTTACGATAGTCTTAGCGCTAAGGTGATCACAACTCCCATACTTTTACACTGGCTTACGATAGTCGTAGCGCTAAGATCGCTTTGTGGAACGGGACCCAGGACATTTTCCATCTTGTACAAGTGTAGGAGTGAGTGAGTGAGTTGGGTTTAACGCCGCTTTTAACAGTATTCCAGTTATATCATGGCGTGTCAGCTTAATGTGGGAGGAAAGCCCGAAGTGATGCAGGTCTCAGACGTTTACCACTTCGGTGAAACCCACGAGCACGGGTATGGTGCTGACAAACCTAGAAACATAATTGGGGCGAACCGGGATTCGAACCCACAATCATAGGTTTCTGGCGTGCCCAAGGGACGCAACCCTGCACAGCGAATCGCGGCGCCTTAGACGACTGGGCCATCCGTGCCCCCTACAAGTGTAGGAAGGAAAATATCTTGAACATGCAGTTTTGTTAGCTCAACTGGTTTAATGGAGGTATTGTAATGTCTGCCGGACTTGATTGAAGAGTGAGTTTGTGTTGTACAACTCACTGACTGTAATCATGAACCTTGTGAATGAAAACAGATTAATTCGGTGTTTTATTTTCTTGTTGTTTTACTACGTACTTACTACATTTTGCTATGAAATAATGACCAGACAATCCAGTGATTATTTTTGTTTGTTGTTTAACGCCACGGTCAGCAATATTCCAGCGGTCTGTAAATAATCAAGTCTGGACCAGACAATCCAGTGATTGATATCATGAGCATCAATCCACACAACTGTGATACGATGACTTGCATGAACCAAGTCAGCAAGCCTGACCACCTCATCCCGTTAGTCGCCTCTTACGACAAGCATGGATTGCTGAAGACCTATTCTGACCCAGGTCTTATCCAGTGATTGACGTCATGAGCATGGATCCACAAAATTAGGATACGATAAAATCAAGACTGAAGCTGTTAACATTTATTATTACGCATTGATCCATTGTTTGTTTGTTGTTTAACAATCAGCAACATTCCAACTCTTTGAAGGCAGCCTATAGTTACTTGAATCTGGACCAAACAATCCAGTGATCGATATGAGCAACGTCCCATGACATTTCAGATAGAGGGGATGGCATGCAACTGTCTCATCACTCCTGGCTACAGGGTCACGTCAGGAAAAGCCAACACCGAGGACGGAACTCACCAGGTACATCCACACCATCCTCTAGAGCCAGGGCTCTTTTATAGGTGGTCCTCCCAATCCTGCATTGTCATTGGCTTAAAATAATGCGCTCAGGTCCTCTTGTCTTGGTTTTGTTTTCATTAGTTTGGCACCAAATTCCAAATCTACAACACGAGTCTTTCAATTGTGGTGGCACAATATGCCACTACAAGGAGCAGTACAGTACTTTTTTCTGATAATGACCAGTGAGATTGCACTGGGGGTGGGGGGCTCAACACACGTTCCGTTATTCAGTATAGTGTAAGTTTTGATCTTTATTTAACCTTTGCACTTTCCTCTCTCTGTAAGCCTATCCTCAGATTTATGAACAATGTTTGTTGTTTAACGCCGCACTCAGCAATATTTCAGCTATATGACGGCGGTCTGTAAATAATCGAGTCTGGACCAGACAACCCAGTGTTTGACATCATGAGCATCTATTCACACAATTGGGATCGATGACATTCATCAACCAAGTCAGCGAGCCTGACCACTAGATACCGTTAGTCGCCTCTTACGACAAGCATAGTCACCTTTTATGGCAAGTATGGGTTGCTGAAGACCTATTCTACCCCGGATCTTCACGGACCCATATCCTCAGAAACCTCTAGACCAATGGTGCAGAAACTTCTGATTATTTTTCCCACCAATACACTTTGATGTCGGCGGTCAGGATGCACTGGTGGGGAGTTCAAATGCTAGAACATCAGTGAATAGTGTAATTATCGGAAATAAGAGAAATTTATGGATTTGAACTTTTTTATATTGAGGAACACAATGTATCCGGTATATACTTACTCCTTCATCAGGTGAACATAATAAAGAAGCTGACATTCATAAATTTCTCTTCCATTCTGTCTTTGTTTTCAGATGATCTGTCTGTTCCAACACACACTGGAGGAGCTCACGAACCTCCGCTTTGACAGACAGCTGAGTCTTGATATGGTGACTGATCAAATTTATATTTGAAATTTTATTTGTAAGAAAAGCCAAAGAATAAATGTATAGAGACTCTAGATATGTCAGGGAGGCACTTAGTCTACTCATGAAGTGTTGTGGTGAATTATGACAAATATACATGTACATGGTTGTTTTCGTCACTGACGTTGGGATGATCATTTTTAAAGTTATTTCTGCGCTGTAATTATAGACGTTGTAAACCAGTATGTTTTAGCTTCAAAGCATACCAGTTGAATTTTGATGAAGATGTTTAGAGATAGATATGGTTATTACATTTTTTTGGGAAAAATTTCAATAAGGAACTATCATGTTCTTTACATATTTCAGCTGTATCGAGATTCCCCCGACAACGAAGACGACATGGTTTCCCTGATGTATGTCTGAATGACATTACCTTGAGCTTTTCATGTCATGGGATCTATTCAGATGATGATGATGATGACGACGACGATTGATGATGATGATGATGACGACGACGATTGATGATGATGATGATGATGTTGATGATGACATTTGTGTGGTCAACAACTGATGACATGTGGATCCTGTGTTTCCAAGTACAGCACATCATCACTACAGCGTTCCACAAAGCGATCGTAGCTCTAAGGCAATCGCAACTCCCATACTTTACATAGACTTACGACCATCGTAGTGCTACGATCGCTTTGTGGAACGGGGTCTTGTTTGTATGTTCCTCCATCACCCGTGACAACATACAACCACTTCGCAGTGTAGTAGCGACACGTGTGTGTATTTAGTCAGCTAATAAAATGAGTCCACACTGTCCATGAACGTTGTGCAAACCCAACCATTGTCGGACATTGAAACAATGTTGATAGCCTCAAGGCACAAGTTGCACAAGATATATTGCCGTTTGTGCGATGTAATCTAAGCACTCATTGGCCTGTACTGGCTGCACAGCAAAGTGTCGGCATGCATTCACGGGTTGAGGAATGTTATGTATACAAAACCTGTAAAGTATGGACAATGAGTACAGCAGTGGACTGTTATTTAGGATTGATCTCTGACCTCTTTATGGAAGAGTGTTTGTTTGTTTGTTGTTTGTAGGTGTACCAACATACCTTAAGTTTTCAAATTCTGACTAGTAATAAGAGTTGAGGTGAGGTGAAATGGGGTTTAACGTTGCGTCCAAGATTATTGCACTAATATAGCGACGTGCATGTATGTGTGTGTGGCTGCTTGTCCGGACTGATGCCGATTTATAGTGCTAGCCCACTGAGATACCATGCCGCAGTTAAACATGAATACCCCACTCAGACACAGTATACTGACTCCGAGCTGACCAGTCCTTCTTTTAGCCCCTTAATGCCGAGCACCAGACAGGGTAACAACAAGTACCATCTTTTAACGTCTTTTGGTATGATGCAGCCGGGGATCGAACCCCGGACCTTTCGCTCTCCGGGTGGATGTTCTACCTCTAGACCACGGAGGCGGTTGACTAATAACAAGATCTGTAGTCATTCTCCATCAGAGATGTAAAGCAGTTTGTGAGGACACATAAACAGCATCAAGCGTCACCGGTACTTCTTCAGAAAATTGATCTGTCTATAATGGGGTTTAACTTCGCATCCTGATTACTTCACGTCTATAGCGATGAGCATGCATGTGTGTGTTTGGCTCCTTGTCCGGACAAATACCAGTTTAATAGTATTTTATAGCCTCTGAGACACCATACCACATTTTTAACATGAATACCCCACTCAGTAAACTGACTCCAAGATAACCAGTCATTGTTTTATTCCCTTAATGCTGAACAACAAGTACCATCTTTTAATATCTTTTAGTATGACACAGCTGGGGCTTGGCAGACAATCTATCCACTGTTTGTTTGTTTGTTTGTTGTTCAATGCACTCTCAGCAATATTCCAGCTATATGACGGTGGTTTGTATATAATTGAGTCTGAAACAGACAATTCGTGCAATTGTGATACGATGACATGCATCAACCAAGTCAGAAAGCCTCACCACCCAGTCCCGTTAGTCGCCTCTTAATCTATCCACAAGACAATGTCATTGTAACTATTACTAGTTGTCAGTACATTCAGATCACAGTTGCTCCTGCTTTTCAACATAGAGAGTTTCCTCCCAGTGAAAATTGTTTGTCACAAAAATATTTGTGATGCATCGCCTCCCAGGGACCGTCTTTCCAAGTACAAGGTCCAGCAATTATCACAGAAATGAGAACAAAGATGTCTGTTTTCTATATGTTTATTGTTTTGCCGTTCTGCATATGAAAACAAACAACTAGAGTGTGAACAACCTCATGAAAGTATGCATAACAGATGAGTCCAACAACCCCAACATAGGCCAGGAGAAGGTAACTGTACACAATGTTAGAATTTTCTGGGGTAGCGTAATAAATTTGCATATACATCAGCATTGTAGTCATGTATTGGCTAAATTGTACATGTAGAGAAAACTGAACTGATATTTCATTTAAGCCCCTTCAGGTCACTGTAAAGAAATAAAATAATGATCCTGGTATACCTGCATCATGTATTTTTGCATACTAGTGAGTGAGTGAGTTGGTTTTAGGCTAAAAAAAATGATAGTCTTGGTTCGCAGGCACCGACCACATCATCATCATAAAGTCTGCCGCTCCTTAATTTGTATTTCCATTTTCACAAAAATTAAAAATTCCTAATACTTAAAAACAATGTGATCCCACAGAGCACCCAGTTACTTCCCTTTACATGCGCACTGCTTTACTGCGCATCTCGTGTTGTTGCCATGGCAGCAATAGGAGTTTGTATGCTTGTTTATGTAGGGAGGCCCTTTCCCAGGTTGATGGTACACCAGTTTATTTGGTGACATACTAGTTTGAACAAGCAACAACAACAAACACACCACCTGCCCGCACTTTATTTTCAAAAGTCATTGCCTGAGAACCAATTCTTTTATTTTGTTAAGCCTTAGCAATATTCCAGCAGTATCACGGTGGTGAACGCCAGGAATGGGCTTCACACATTGTAGCCATGAGGGAATCGAACCCAGGCCTTCGTTGAGACTAGCAAACATTTTGAAGAACCAATCAAGCATTTCATACAATGGGAATCAAACTTTCATGAAAATGAGTGGCCACCATAACCACTAGGCTACCTCACGACATTCTTTACAGCAGTTCCAGATCATTCCATGAGGCGGTGGAAGAAGTGTTGTTTAATGGGACAAATTACAGTGCTATCATTTTGACTATAGTGAGGCTGACATCCATGCTCTCTGGGTATGACACACAATCACAAGGGTCTCTGTGGCTTGGTCGTCCCTCCTTCGTGGTACCCCCTGATGTCAGGAGCAGCCATTGTGAACACCAGATCCCCGTTTGGTCAGCTCTTCCTCACACTCCAAGCTGGCAGACGATGCTGAGTGAGTGAGTGAGTGAGAGTGAGTATGGTTTTATGTTGCTTTAAGCAATATTCCAGCAATATCACGGCAGGGGACACCAAATATGGGCTTCACACATTGTATCCATGTGGGGAATTGAACCCCGGACTTCGGCGTCACGAGCGAATGATCCAACCACAAGGCTATCCCATCACCCTTGTAGAGGATGCTATGAGTGTTGTTTTTTTACTTTAATGCAACAAATGACGTATATGCAGGTCTCAGACATTTAACACTTTGGTGAAACCCACGAGCACGGGTATGGTGCTAACAAACCTAGAAAAATAATCGGGGCAAACCGGGATTCGAACCCACAATCATAGGTTTCTGATATGCCAAAGGGACGCAACTCTGCACAGCGAATTGCGGCACCCATCACTAAGGACCAATAACACATTCTGGTCATTTGGGGTAGAATAGGTCTGTCAAATGTTGAGTAGCAAATTTTTGGAAAAAATTTCACACCAAAATCTGTTGCATAAGATATCCCTCAACCACAGATAATAATGTGCTGTGAAATATTGATGACAACAATGATTTTAGCTTTGGTGATACCATATTTGCCATAATAAACGTCTAGGATCAGAAAGGGAACATGCTTATTTCAACCATCGGCATGGCGAGGGGAACCATTAATTACCAGGCTACCCCACCGACCCTGTACATTAATAAAGCAAATGAAATGAGGGACATCAGATACACATGTTTCCTATGGAGCTGTTACGCAGTATGTCTTCAACAAACAGATTCATGACTTCGGTTGATAGTAAGAAAGTGATCATGTGATATACCGTTTTCGACGTATTAAGCACCCAGGGCGCTCTCAAAATTAGAAACAGGGGGCTCTTATTAGAATATTAATTTTGTGGAAAAAAACAGAGTTAAAAGACAAATTTCGTGGTTTATGCTGACAGCATGAAATGTTTATACGACAAATGTATTTTTCCAGAATTTAATTGCCCATAATTAAGGGTGCATATAACACACGAGTGCGTATTATACGCGAATAAGTAAGTCTTGTGTAGATTGATCAATCGGAAGGGGTACTAATTGGAATTGTTCACTAGCCAATATATTAGGAAATATCACCGTGGGCGCTTATTACGTCGAATATGGTATAACTGGTTCTCAGGTCATGACAGTTCAAAGCAGACATTGTTTTGGTCGCAAACTGAATGCAGGGTTGTCCCTGTGCAACAGCATTACTGATGTCATGTAACAGAAAAGTCGAAGCCGGTACATTTTGAACCACGGTTTTCCAGAGGATCGCTATAAACACCTTTTTATGACAGTCTGAGTAAGTATAGTTTCACGCTGCTCGTAGCAATATTCCAGCAATGGGCTTCACACGTAAGTACCCATGTGGGGAATCGAACCCGGCAGTTGGTGTAACAAGCGAATGCTTTAACCACTTGGCTACCCACCGCTCGCTGTATATAACACAATTCATACTTCAATACTTCAATACTCTAATCCTGAACAGATATGAGATTCCTGCTTTGTTTCTGACAGTTCTAGTGCAAATATGACATCACTGAGAGACAGTTGCTTAAATATGTAACACTGTTCAACAAACAAGGTTTTGATTTAAAATTAAATACAAAAATAGTTTAACAATACCTATAACCATACAACATTCACCAAAAAATTTTGGCAACAAAATGAACTAAAAAATTTGATTCATTTTCAATAATATTTTACCATGTTTACAGTAGGTTTAATTCTACCTCAACTCCAACTGATGTTTCAATGCCTGACAATTCATACAAACATGCAATCAAAGGAACATATAGTCGAAACATCTCGGTGGCCTCGTCTAGATCTACCTTTGCTTTTCACAAATATTCATTTATAAGGCCAGGCGTTTTATATATTTCGGATTACGTACCCGCCGACTCTAATTTTTTAGAAAATGTAAAAAAAAAAAGAAATCAGATTTCCATTTTATTTTCCCCGCCCAAAGCCACGTAGTCAGTTATTTTATTTGTTATCATCACCTTTTAAAAAAACAACATATGGATTTACCGTTGTAAACAAGTAAAGAAATACATAATCGATCTTTATGATCTCGAAGCTAAACATGAATAGTCTCCCTTGACAATTGTCATTGTCCGTGTTGTAAGTGGTAGAATTTGTATTGTTACAAGGGGCTTTATCATTCCAAATGGCAGTCTTTTGAGCACAGAATATGTTCATAGAGTATGCCAGCGGCATTCTGCATTATAAAAAAAATGCATTTGGCTTTTCTTTTTTTTCCCTCCAACCCTGGACTTTGGGCTGAAAAATCTGTAATCCTAAACATAAAAAATGCCTGGCCTAACTGTAAACACTCTATTTCCAGCAAGATGACAACATTGTACAGTTCAGTTCCTGTATCTCAATATTCTGCTCATTTCACTCATCCTCTTGTTCCAGAGAAGAGTTATTTCAATGTTAATCAGATTAACATCCTTGGTATCTTTAGAGACCAACCATATGATGTTCAGAGGGGTGGGGGCCTGGAATTTTCTCCGAAAATAATTGTTCCAAAAGTTTGTCCTTCCATGTTGCCACACCACCCCCTTCCCTATCTCCACTACAGCAGAAAACCACTAACACACTAATGTTTACAGACTAGACTCTCACGGCAGGTTCCCAGTTTCACATATAGCTCACCTTGCACTATCTAGACCAATTCCTGATCTGAGTTTGAGTATAGTTCCCGTTTTGGATATCCTTCGAGCAAGAGAACGTTCATTTGTGGGTATCTTATGTTATTTGGTCAAGTGCTCCAAAGAGTTATTTATCCTGATAAGGAGGATCTCGGCCTGGAATAAGAGGGAGGTCGATGCAGGTTGGCAGGAGTGAGCTGGGTTCTCTGTTAGTACCTTGGCAGATCACAGCAGGTTACACAATCACACAACCGTCGACATTCACACTCACTCATACACTGGCATCACAGTCACACTCTGTACAAATGATGCTGCTTCCGAGTGTCAAGATCTCGAAGATGATGATGTAAGCTCGTCCTTGATAAGATGCTCTGGAAGAAAAACATTTTACATTTTGTTCAGTTGAATATGGATGCTTGCTATTTGATGCCGCAGTCAGAACTATTCCTGCTATTTCATGCCGCAGTCAGCACTATTCCTGCTATTTCATGCCGCAGTCAGCACTATTCCTGCTATGTCATGCCGCAGTCAGCACTATTCCTGCTATTTCATGCCGCAGTCAGCACTATTCCTGCTATTTCATGCCGCAGTCAGCACTATTCCTGCTATGTCATGGCGGCCTGTAAATAATGACTCTGGTGGATGGCACAATGATGGTTCACGCTGATGGGGTACAATGACACAGAATCAATGAAGATGCAAAGCCTGACCATCTGATTCCCATTACAGTATTTGGACAAGCAGGCAGTACTTGTGGTGAACATCACCATCAAACAAAGGGACACAACTCCCATCATACCAAGGACACAACTCCCATCATACCAAGGGACACAACTCCCATCATACCAAGGGACACAACTCCCATCATACCAAGGGACACAACTCCCATCATACCAAGGGACACAACTCCAATCACACCAATGGACACAACTCCTATCATTACAAGGGCCACTACTCCAATCACTCCAAGGGCTTTCATCATGCCATTGGCCACACAAACGGCACGTAACTCTCATCATACCAATGGCAGAGCTACAGATAAGCAGCGTATTTGCGTAAAATACCGCCCAAAACTATTCAAAACCCAATTACTTGCAATTAACTTGCGTACAGAAACACATGCATTAAATGCAAAACTCAATTATATGAAAACAGCACGCGTCAACACCCAATGAAGCTTTTTCAGCATGCGTACAACGGAGCTACTTTCCGAAACACAATTACGAGCTAATTTACTTTCCGAGTCAAGCCTATATTTAGAACCGTTATATACATCTAAAACATTATTTCTTTTTTTTTAAATCTCAAAATGCTTACACATTTTCGGAAAAACTCAAAAGAGTGATAAATAGATGAGTGAAAAAATATTGGTTACCCAAAAACCCAATTAAACTAGAAACCTTCGAGTAAAAACTCAATTGCTCAAAAAGTTATCTGGAATTCTGCAATGGCCACACAAAGGGCCCATAACTCCAAACATTTCAAGGGGAAAAACACTCCCACAAAACCAAGGGGACAGACCCCCCACCAGACAAGCCTGAATTTGACATGAGAGGTACTTACTCTGCTGGGGAAGCCTGATTGGTTCTGTGTCTGCGAGGGTGACTTGATGGAACCGGTGTCGGAACTTGTATCTGATAAACAGTGTCTTTGTCTCCCCAATCACCGGGTCATAGAACCCTGGTAGGCCACTCTGTAACATGTAAACAGTGGTAAGTCAACGAACGCTATATTCGTCATTTAGCACTTGGGAGCTTTTCCCCATATATATTCACACGTTCAAGTGGTTTTTTTTATCAAAGCTTTTTTTTTCCACTTCATGTATATATCAATGTCGTTACATGTTAATTGGACCCATGAAGATCCGGCGTAGAATAGGTCTTCAGCAACCCATACCAGATGCAAAAGGCGACGATGCTTGTCGTAAGAGGCGACTAACGGGATCAGGTGGTCAGGCTGGCTGACTTGGTTAATGCATGTCATTGATCCCAATTGTTTGGATCAATGTTCATGATGTCAATCACTGGATTGTCTGGTCCAGACTCGATTATTTACAAACCGCCGTCATATAGCTGGAATATTGCTGAGTGCGGCATTAAACAACAAACAAATAAACAAACATGTTAATTGTAATAATGAAGCATACCTTATCCTTTCACAATAGTATCCAACAATAAGTTATGACACAGACTGATTGTGTCGAGTTGTGTGGAGTTTATTGCGGAAACAAACCAGTGGATGAGAGCTGGAGTGTTCATTTAGCCAAGTAACAACCGACAGTTTGCTCTTCTTGAATCTGCTCATGAAATATTCATATTCAGCAGCCATTGTGGCCAACAAATCTTCATTTTGTTTGCCTCACCTGGCAAACATGTGATGGACAATTACTCTTTCAGGGCCACCCACACAGAGAGGTCAAGCCTACCTTTGTTGTGTTCTCCGGGAGGATCAATTTGGACTCCTTGACCAGAGCCTGGAGAGGGATGCTGACATCTAAACACTCTCTGTCAATCAGCTCCCTGGAAAAAGATACCGTTAGTGAGTGGGTGGACCTTGTAGTGAGAGTGAGTATGGTTTTACGCTGCTTTTAGCAATATTCCAGCATCATCACAGTGGGGGACACCAGAAATGGGCTTCACACATTGTACCCATGTCGGGAATCGAACTCGGGACTTCAGCGTGATGAGCGGACACTTTAACTATTAGGCTACCCCATGCCCCTGTGGATTTGTAACAGATAGTCATTGAGTGGGTGGAGCTTGTAACAGATAGTCATTGAGTGGGTGGAGATTGTAACAGATACAGTCAATAAGTGGGTGGAGCTTGTAACAGATAGTCACTGAGTGGGTGGAGCTTGTAACAGATACAGTCAGTGAGTGGGTGGAGCTTGTAACAGATACAGTCAGTGAGTGGGTGGTGCTTGTAACAGATACAGTCAGCTAGTGGGTGGTGCTTGTAACAGATACAGTCAGTGAGTGGGTGGTGCTTGTAACAGATACAGTCAGTGAGTGGGTGGTGCTTGTAACAGATACAGTCAGTGAGTGGGTGGTGCTTGTAACAGATGATCAGTGAGTGGGTGGAGCTTGTAACAGATGATCAGTGAGTGGGTGGAGCTTGGGCCAGATTCAGTCAGTGAGTGGGTGGAGCTTGTAACAGATACAGTCAGTGAGTGGGTGGTGCTTGTAACAGATACAGTCAGCTAGTGGGTGGTGCTTGTAACAGATGGTCAGTGAGTGGGTGGAGCTTGGGCCAGATTCAGCCAGTGAGTGGGTGGAGCTTGTAACAGATGGTCAGTGAGTGGGTGGAGCTTGTAACAGATGGTCAGTGAGTGGGTGGAGCTTGGGCCAGATTCAGTCAGTGAGTGGGTGGAGCTTGTAACAGATACAGTCAGTGAGTGGGTGGTGCTTGTAAAAGATACAGTCAGTGAGTGTGTGGTGCTTGTAACAGATACAGTCAGTGAGTGGGTGGTGCTTGTAACAGATACAGTCAGCTAGTGGGTGGAGCTTGTAACGGATACAATCAGAGAGTGGGTGGAGCTTGTAACAGATACGGTCAGTGAGTGGGTGGTGCTTGTAACAGATATGACAGCTACATCATTAGAGGTATAATGACTGATTAAGCCATTGATACAAGATATGGCCAAAGACAATATCAATTGTCAATTGTCAGCAAACACATATCAAATCATAATAAAAAAAAAAATCTTGCTTATCTCCTAAACAACTACCCAAGAAATCTCCTGACCCAGAATAAGGTTGACATTTAAGTTCTGACATGGCAATTCAAGCCAGATCCTCCTGATCCCCCTCCGAGTGTAACGTACCCATCATCGTCAGTGATGAGCTTGCCGTACAGCCCCTTGATGATGACCAGACCCCCCTTCTTCTCCTCCGCCTCCAGACTCCTCTCCACTGTCTCCTTCATCAGCTCCACCTACACAACACATGGGGATATGCTGAACATTAAAAAGGTTTAAGTAAATTACCTAGAGAAAGGGCAAAGGGTAACTGATACTACGGCTGAGCCAAAATGAAATGAGCTCATCCCATCTTTACTTCTCAAGTTTTATCACAGGATGTGAGAGCATGGGGGAAGGAAACCCCAAAGTGACACAGGTCAGCTCTGGTGAATCCACAAGAATGCACATGGTGCTGAAACACATGGATCGTTATTGAGGTACGTCAGGGTATGGAACCCCTGCCAGATATTTCTGCCACAACTGAGAAGCCCACCCAAGCCCTGCCTGTCTACTCACGGCAGCCTCAGCCTCTGTTTTCCTCTGAGCCAGTTTCTCGGAGTGTTCCTTTCTCGTCTTCTCTAGCTCCCTGAAACACAACCGCATCAAACCTCTCTAACTTCGTCAGTCTACACAAGCGCATCAAACCTCTCTCACTTCCTCAGTCTACACAAGCGCATCAAACCTCTCTAACTCCCTCAGTCTACACAACCACATCAAACCTCTCTAACTTCCTCAGTCTACACAACCACATCAAACCTCTACAACTGCAAGGTCAGCGAGCAACTATTTAGCAGTATGGGCAGTGTACGTACTTTACCAGCTGAAGAAAAAATACATGTGCAGATGTAATATTTAATGCGCTACTGACAAAGGTCACCACTAAATATAACCGCTTGCAGTCACCCAACTATCGATTCTCACCCAGATTGTAACCACGTGATCAAAACTCAATGATGATGTTTATCGCTACGAAAGTTGACATTTCTTGAAAGGCGTACTTTGCAATTTTTTTCATTATTGTAAGTAAAATTCCATTTTGGTGGAATGGCTTGTTTTCACTTTATTCTATAAGCACACATACAGCAATTATTAATTGATCATCGTGATATTTCGTTTTTCTATTTCATGTGGCGAGGACTAGAGTGTCAACTTACTTTTCTTTCTGCTGTCTCAGGAAGGGGTTGACGATGAGGTTGCGGACAACGAAGAAGGCAATCACAGGAAGGACTGTTCCATAGAATACTGCCGCTGGGGACAATGTCTCGGAGAGGTGGACTGGGAACAAGAATGTCTGAGTACCACGGAACAATCTGCAAACAAGATTATTTTCCACCTTTACGTGATGTACCAAATAACCAAGACATCAGTTCCACCTTAATTATTTAAAAGGGTTTAATTCTGCAACCTTTTAACAAGATATTCCTGTCAAATTAATTTCAGAGTAACACTCTCATTGTTCTGAATTTAAATGGACTCCCAAGACGCCTTCAAGTAATATCATTCATTTCATATGTTCCTGGAAAGAGTGAGTATGGTTTTACGCCGCTTTTAGCAATATTCCAGCAATATCACGGCGGGGGACACCAGAAATGGGCTTCACACATTGTGCCCATGTCGGGAATCGAACCCGGGTCTTCGGCGTGACAAGCGAACGCTTTAACCACAAGGCTACCCGACCGCCCTTATATGTTCCTGGAAACAATTCGGGAACAACAAATGGGCAGCAAAGGACTAAAGTAACTGATATCCACTGCAAAGGTAAACGGTGGTTGTGAATATGTCTACTAGTTATTTCTGTAACTTGTTGCCATGGAAACTATCAAAAAGCATTATTGTACCGTTTTCAAGATCTGCTCTGGAGACAAACACGACTGCCATTTCCATCCTAAGTCAAAGTTGTTGCCATGCAAACTCGAAAAATATATTTTCCGAAAATCTCAAACAACCAAAAGGCACCAATTCACCACCAGACGCATCTATGTGGCAAGTTTGGAGAAGGTACAGTTTTCAAGATCTGCACGGAAATGAACACTACCACTATTTCCAGGCTAAGTCAAACTTGTTGCCATGCAAACTCAAATTGTTTTTTTCATAAAATCCCAAACTATCAAAAGACACCGGTTCACCACAAGACCTATCTAAGTTTGGTGAAGAAATATTGAACAGTTTTCAAGACATGCTCGAGAACCGACATCCAGAAACGATAATCCAGTGGGCATGTAGTCAAGCAGGCCAGGGAGGCTGACCACCTGGTCCATTGTGCCACCCCATATAACAAGCATAGGTTGCTGGGAACCTATTCAACCAGATTTCCCATGGAATTTCTACAGTTGTTAGTTTGTTTGTTGTTTAACGCCGCACTCAGCAATATTCCAGCTATATGACGGCAGTCTGTAAATAATCGAGTCTGGGCCAGACAATCCAGTGATTGACATCATGAGCATCGATCCACGCAATTGGGATCAATGACATGCATCACCCAAGTCAGCGAGCCTGACCACCCGATCCCGTTAGTCGCCTCTTACGACAAGCATGGGTTGCTGAAGACCTATTCTACCCCGGCTCTTCAGAAGAAAGTGTGTACTGACTTGACTCGGAGGTGGATGCCATGGGGGAGGCTGATCCCCATGGTGGCGCCCAAGAAGCTGAACTGGGTGATCTTCTTCTCAAAACCATACTCTAGTAGGTAACCATGGGAACCAATTCTGAAATGAACGAATTTGAGATTCAAAATAACAACAGGGCTACAAATATGTGAATATTGTCTAACTCTGCAGTCTACAATATTCCATCTGTATCATGGTGGCCTCTAAATAATTTTGGATGAGGAAACTCCGTGCAAACATCATGACAACACGAAACACAATCAGTCCTGTCACAGAGCCCATCTTATTAAGTCCCCCGTTATGAGTAAGTGAGTGAGTGAGTGAGTATGGTTCTACGCCTTTTGGCAATATTCCAGCAATATCACAGCAGGGGACACCAGAAATGGGATTCACAAATTGTACCCATGTGGGGAATCGAAACCCGGGTCTTCGGTGTGGCAAGTGAACGCTTTAACCACAAGGCTACCAACCACCCTCATCCATTATGACAAGCAATAGACATAGACATGACAGAAGGACTAGGAAATTGTGGAGTTTAACTTAAATCAAATGACTTTTCCCCACGATCCAATGCCAAATTAATCTCTTTGTGAGTGAGTGAGTGAGTGGGTGGGTGGGTGGGTGGGTGGGTGAGTGAGTGAGTGAGTGAGTGAGTGAGTGAGTGAGTGAGTGAGTGAGTGAGTGAGTGAGTGAGTGAGTGAGTGAGTGAGTGAGTGAGTGAGTGAGTATGGTTTTATGTTGCTTTAAGCAATATTCCAGCAATATGGGCTTCACACATTGTATCCATGTGGGAAATTGAACCCGGGGCTTCGGCCTCACAAGCGAACGATCTAACCACAAGGCTAGAGGATGCTATGAGTGTTTTTTTTACTTTAATGCAACAAATGACACATAAATAGTTCAGCAGCAACACAACTGAACATTTTAGGATTGAGACCAAATATACTGAGTGAGTGAGTGAGTGAGTGAGTGAGTGAGTGAGTGAGTGCGTGCGTGCGTGCGTGCTTGCGTGAGTGAGTGAGTGAGTGAGTGAGTGAGTGAGTGAGTGAGTGTACTTACTTTACAGCAACTCTGAGTTTGGCCTCGTGCTCCTGGAACTTCCTCGTCACGCTGGCCTGAACGTGCCACGCCTTCCTCATGCCCATCTACACACAAGACAAGAACCTCATGTTATCAAACCAACATCATCTATAGTATCTTCCTCTTGGTAATTCTTTTCAGCAAAACAAATCTTAACATGGCCTAAAGTATAGCATTACTGGCTCACCTTGTCAAATAATGTCTATTTCATTGAGTCACCTAACACAATGTTACAAAGTTCATCCTTTTTTTAGCATTTCTTGGAATTTGATGAAAGAAAAAGTAGACACAATTTTTGGATAATAAATTCCTTGATATACTTAGTATATTAGCTCCATGTCTTGCTTGGCAACAGTATACGGATCTATACAGAAACACGGCTTTAATAGTATATTATAGGAGTTGCTATCCATAAATTGTGTCTGCTATGAAGTTCATATCTCTCTTGTGATTCAACCATGCAGGCCTCAAAGTTTAAATTTTTACCAAGTAGCCATATGGCTACAAGTATGCCAGTGGTAAAAATGGGTTTTTCAGATTAAAAACGATGTTTTATTGGTCTGTTTTCAGTCGTACAATTGGGTATCTCATACCTCTAGTCGCACGTTAAAAGGAAGCTAGAAGCTGGAATGTAAACAATAAACTTGTTTCCGTCCGGTTGCGCACGCACCTCCCGATGACATGCCACAAATCTCGAAGAATAAGCCATCAAGCAGGACTGGACTGGATTACTTCCCAGTGGGGATGGCTGGGTGGGAACGTACGACTGAAAACAGACCAATAAAACATCGTTTTTAATCTGAAAAACCCATGTTTTAGTCTGTTTTCAGTCGTACAATTGGGTAGAATTCGACGGAACACTGGAAGGAGGGTCTGGAAAGTAATCCGGAAGTGACCTCTTGCACGTCGAATGTACCAAGTTCCTCACCCCCGTAGTGACAATAGAACATTCGACCAGATGCACGGACGAGACAAATTGTTTATCACGAACGCACAACATGGTTAATGCTCATCGACACACAACTAATTATCGATGCGACAGGACAACTGCACGCGTCAGTTGAACGGCGATCGAAGTGGTCGACGTATAGTTTAGTTACAGAGCAACTCGCAGTATACAAGGTAACTAAACAGCATCTTTAATGCTCTTCGACCCACAAGTAAGTATCGATGCGACAAGGCAACTGCACACGACAGTTGAATTGCAATCGAAGTGTGGACGGCATATAATTTAGTTTCAGAACGACTCATCGTATCCAAGGTAACTAAAACTGCATGTTTAATGCTCTTCGACCCACAAGTAAGTATCGATGCAACAGGACAACTGCACACGTCAGTTGAGGTGCGATCGAAACGTGGTCGGCTTATAATGTAGTTACAGAACGACTCGTCGTAGGCAAGGTAACTAAAACAGCATGGTTAATGCTCATCGACACACAACTAATTATCGATGCGACAGGACAACTGCACGCGTCAGTTGAACGGCGATCGAAGCGGTCGACATATAGTTTAGTTACAGAGCAACTCGCAGTATACAAGGTAACTAAAACAGCATGTTTAATGCTCTTCGACCCACAAGTAAGTATCGATGCGACAAGGCAACTGCACACGACAGTTGAATTGCAATCGAAGTGTGGACGGCATATAATTTAGTTTCAGAACGACTCATCGTATCCAAGGTAACTAAAACTGCATGTTTAATGCTCTTCGACCCACAAGTAAGTATCGATGCGACAGGACAACTGCACACGTCAGTTGAGGTGCGATCGAAACGTGGTCGGCTTATAATGTAGTTACAGAACGACTCGTCGTAGGCAAGGTAACTAAAACAGCATGTTTAATGCTCTTCGACACACTACTAATTATCGATGCGACAGGACAACTGCACGCGTCAGTTGAACGGCGATCGAAGCGGTCGACATATAGTTTAGTTACAGAGCAACTCGCAGTATACAAGGTAACTAAAACAGCATGTTTAATGCTCTTCGACCCACAAGTAACTATCGAAGCGACAGGACAACTGCACACGACAGTTGAATTGCGATCGAAGTGTGGACGGTATATAAAGTGGTTCAGAACGACTCGTCGTATCCAAGGTAACGAAAAATAGCATGGTTAATGCTCTTCGACACACAACAAATTATCGATGCGACATGACAACTGCACACGTCAGATGAATTGCGATCGAAGTGTGGTCGGCGCATAATTTAGTTACAGAGCAACTCGCAGTATACAAGGTAACTAAAACAGCATGTTTAATGCTCTTCGACCCACAAGTAACTATCGAAGCGACAGGACAACTGCACACGACAGTTGAATTGCGATCGAAGTGTGGACGGTATATAAAGTGGTTCAGAACGACTCGTCGTATCCAAGGTAACGAAAAATAGCATGGTTAATGCTCTTCGACACACAACAAATTATCGATGCGACATGACAACTGTACACGACAGATGAAATGCGATCGAAGTGTGGTCGGCGCATAATTTAGTTACAGAGCAACTCGCAGTATACAAGGTAACTAAAAAATACGAGCAGTACTTCTAGTCGGAGACAATGTCGAAGGCGACCTGATCGAGAGGCTCGTAAGTCTAACTAGACAGGTAGCGCAGAACGATATCGAGGTCCCAGGCCGGCAGGCGGAATTAATGTGACTCATCTTCAACCATGAAGGCACGTAGAATTTTCTGCAATTCCGGTATTTTAGTGAGCCTGTCGCCCGTAGGAGACGGCTCGTCTAGGTAGAAGGCGACCCTGATCGCCTGCCGACGGAGCCATATTACGACCGTCTTCATGATCCGTGTGATGAAGTCTTCCCCCTACCGGTAGCTCGTCTAAAGGTAGTAGGCTCCGACGACGGTGACGGCGGGGAAAAGGGACCTCATTACCTCCCCCGCCGGCTCGTTGTCGACAGCATAGCAAGCGGTTGTAGCTGGAGACGAACAGAAGTGTCCATGGAACCCCAATGCCTGTCTACTACAAGAATCTTGGAGGGCGCTGGTTTCTTGAAGAGTAGCCCCCAATCCAAGTCCCTACTCATGGGTGACGAAAACGGCATGCCATAGATCGGGTAACGCGATCGAACAGGTGGTTTGCTGAAACTCTGCCCCGGCAGAGCAGAGGCAAGTTCTGGTCCATATCGTGAACCATGGCTCTGAAGACATTGGGAGGAGAAGACTGAAGAGACTGCGGCGTATCTCCAACCTTTAAGCCAGCACACGTCGGTTTGTCATCATCTTTTGATAACTCAGGCAGAAAAGTGAGATAGCCAAGCCATAGCCAGGCTGTCGTCACAATCCATCGTCGACGTCGATTGTGTAGATGTAGATGAAGGTACTGGTGTATTGGTCGATGGTCCATGGACCTCTGACGTAGTCGAATCCTTCTTGGTCGACGCCCTGGAGGTGAGTACCGCCGTCGTGATCTGGGCTATCAAAGCTGGGGCGATATGAAAGTGAGACGAGGGTGTCGATCGGTCATTATCTCTACGACGCTGTCGTCACAATCCATCGTCAACATCGATTGTGTAGGCGTAGATGAAGGAACCGGTGTACAGGACGATTGTCCATGGACCTCCGACGTAGACGAACCCTTCTCGGTCGACGCCGTCAAGGCGAGTACCGCCGCCGTCATCTGGCCTATCAAAGCCGGGTCGATATGAAAGTGAGACGAGGGTCACGATCGATCATTATCTCTACGACGCTGTCGTCACAATCCATCGTCGACGTCGATTGTGTAGGCGTAGATGAAGGAACCGGTGTACAGGACGATGGTCCATGGACCTCCGACGTAGACGAACCCTTCTCGGTCGACGCTGTCAAGGCGAGTACCGCCGCTGTCATCTGGCCTATCAAAGCCGGGTCGATATGAAAGTGAGACGAGGGTCACGATCGATCATTATCTCTACGACGCTGATCTCCCAAAAACTCCCTTCGAAGGCGTCGCACGTCCCCGTGGGGACGAGGGCTACGATCTCTAACTGTAGAAGTACTACGATCCCCATCGTAGTTATCGTCCGAATCGAACTCCCGACGACCTCAAAGGCGACGAACGTCCTCGTGTCGTTTACTGTCACTCGACGAGGCCCTCGACCTGTCGTCCCGTGAACGGGAACGACTTCTAGAGAGGGATCTGTGTTCACTGTCGACCCGCACGACGTTCCTATCGTCGTTGGTAGGACGAGAGACGGACCGACTGGGGACCGTAGTCCCCTCGTGGTCCTCGTCACCACCCGGTCCCGTCGTAACGGGGGTGGCTGAGTGACGCTCTCGATCAACCGATTGACGAAGATCAGTCGTGCGGGTAGTATCATCAGCAGGCGAACGGTCCCGTGTCTTGTCAAAAAACATAAGTTGACTGAGGCGGGTCTTTTTCAACTGATTTCTTGGGTGTGGTCGACGCGCCACCCCCAGGGCCAGATGTAGGGGGTGCAGAGTCCAAGGATCCACCCGATGACCTCCTCTGCCTGTAGCGCTGGTCAGTAGCCCGCTTCGCCAACGCACGAAGATTCAAGTTAAAGTTGATAGAAGACAAATGCTCACATTCTTAACAACGTTTATTCCACGAACACGTTGAAAGCCTGTCCTTATTTATGCAGGAAGGACAATACTTGTGAGGATCTACTTTAGACAGTTGTCCTTGACACGAGGCACAAATGCCCGACATGTTGCCACGTGTATAATCAAGTGAAACACGTGTTGAACCCAAACAATGGATTACCAATGATTACATTCCAGGAGTCTACAGGTAAGACATAGTATTATTACTGTATTAGAACAACAACTGTAGACACACGATACGGACTAGTAGAATACAAACTAGCAGTCTATCGCGAAAGTCCTTCTCGAGCGACCAGCTCAGAGGCGCGCTGAGAGATTTGTGGCATGTCATCGGGAGGTGCGTGCGCAACCGGACGGAAACAAGTTTATTGTTTACATTCCAGCTTCTAGCTTCCTTTTAACGTGCGACTAGAGGTATGAGATACCCAATTGTACGACTGAAAACAGACTAAAACATCAAGAAGTCAAGCCAATATTGTAGGTAGCCAAAAGCATTTGAAATTATCTTTTATCAAATAACTATTATATGTACAAGTCATAGCACTAGTCTTGGAAACTGTACATGCTGTACTTGAGTTTTGTTATTTGTGACTCAACAATGATGCAATTTATGTTACTAGATTATATAGGTATCCAATAAACTATCAACTAAAATAAAATACTAATTACATTAATATTTATGCATTTCGGTCCATTGTTGACTTCAGGAGGAATTATTTGCAAGTACAATTAGTAGCAGACGTGTTTATTTTTGTGTCTACATATGTGTAGCAATAGAATTTAGTCGCTTCAAGATATTTTTGAAGGTACTCATTTGGCTACCTTTGCATTTTAGACAGAAGACAAATTGAAATTTAGGTTGCATTGGCCACCGTTTTAGTCGCAATTTTGAGTCCTGCCAAATGTTGAAAGAAATGCTATTGATACGTAAATTTGAACGTTGTATTTAGTATGTATCTTCTGCCTGATAATTTGACAAGGGGAGATAACTCTTCTTAGTTCCAGAGACAAGTAAAAATCAGTCTTGTCATGAAATGTAATTATTTTGCTAATGTACAGTTAATTAGTTCAGATACTATTTTTCATCACTAATGAATCAAGTTACAACCCACCATCAACACCAGTGCGCTATGATACTGTTGAGAGTCATACACCATGGCGGTCGTCATGGACGACTGGAAGCCCATGTTCCATGTCATACGACCTTGGAGATGCCGGTCGAACTGATATGCTATTGCTGAAAAAAGGAATAGTGAGTGAGTGAGTGAGTGAGTATGGTTTTACACTGCTTTTAGCAATATTCCAGCAATATAACAGCAGGGGACTCCAGAAATGGGCTTCACACATTGTACCCATGTCAGGAATCAAACCCAGGTCTTTGGCATGATGAGCGAACACATTAACCACTAGGCTAGCCAATCACCCCGAAAAAAGGAATTGTTGTACCATTAACTTTGAAGGTTGAGGTATGATATAGAATCTGCAGAGCTAAAAACGTGCAAAACTTATTGAAAATCAGATAAGATAAGAATTAGGTGTTCTTCAACATCGTTTTTGTGCAGTATGGAAGCAAGGCTAAAATGTGTCATCAATGCTGATTATAAATATTTTCAGCTTAGAAGCTTTTTCAGTTCCGATGGCCAGATTCCTCTCTGCTGCACAGGGAGCCTGACTTACTTGATGAGAGAACTGGCCGGAGTGTTCGCGACGTCCCCTGTAGAGATGCCGCACAGGTGCCGTAACTGAAAGATAAGATAAAACCATTGAATTCCAGAGAAGCTTTGGATCCCAGAGAATGACTTTTGAAAGTATGATGCAAGGCAGCAACCTGTATATGATATAATAGATTGTTCTATCTGTCTACACCATTTCATTACTTTACAGGGGCGGTCGGGTAGCTTAGTGGTTAAAGCGTTCGCTCGTCACGCCGAAGACCTGGGTTCGATTCCCGACATGGGTACAATGTGTGAAGCCCATTTCTGGTGTCCCCCGCCGTGATAATTGCTGGAATATTGCTAAAAGCGGCGTAAAGCCATACTCACTCACTCATTACTTTACAAGATCCTCATATATCCTCTAAGAACCTTTGTCATTATTTATTGGACCCTTAGATTTGTAGGTCAAGGTCAAATACCGAATCTCTGTGCTTTCTATAGCACGAGGTAATGCAAAGTACACTTATTTAGTATCACACAAACATCACAGTTTACCATACAGCCATGTAGAGCAGTCCAACAAAACACAATGTCCTGCTAGCATGACTAGTAGACATCCTTAACCCAACTTGTAGACAGTATGTTCTCAAGTAAAATCTCTTGTTGCCAGGGATCAACAGTTACATTAGGAAATATGACCATAAACATCCTGGTATCTTACCATCTTCGGGTCAACTGGCGAAATCCTTTAATACTTCCCCCAAGCCCATTTCCAAACACAGTCTCGACCTGAAATAACATTCACATTTCAAAATATTGCCATCTCCATCAGAGAATACACAACATCCATTTTACAAAACTGTACACAATAGAAATGAATACAATGGAAACTTGTAAATGTTAATTTTCTGAATGACATATCATAGTGGGCATGGTTTCACCTAGATTACAGGAAAAACAATAGCCCAGTACCAGTTATATAATTCAAGCATATAATCCTATATTACCCGTTTTATCTGGAAAGTATCTCAGTGTACCACCCATGTGATAAATAGTTCTAATGAGGGCAAATGACGACACTGATTGAGCTACTTGCCTCCATCCATCCTTTGTCTGATGTCAGTCTCCGCCATGAAGCTAGAAACGCTCCTGTCCCGGTTCCATTCTGTGTTGAGAGATTCCCCGAGATGATGGCGGTATCTTTCACTGTCAGCGGACACTCCACAGACTGGGAGATACTCATACTGCTCATTTCCACCATCGTGCTCTGTCTGAAGGGAATATAAAATGGAGTATATCTACCGTAGTGCTCTGTCTACAGGGAATATAACATGGAGTATATCTACCACAGTGCTCTGTCTACAGGGAATATAACATGGAGTATATCTACCATAGTGCTCTGTCTACAGGGAATATAACATGGAGTATATCTACCAAAGTGCTCTGTCTACAGGGAATATAACATTGAGTATATCTACCACAGTGCTCTGTCTACAGGGAATATAACATGGAGTATGTCTGCAACAGTCCTCTGCTTGAAGGGAATATAACATGGAGCATATTTACCGTAGTGCTCTGTCTACAGGGAATATAACATGGAGTATATCTACCATAGTGCTCTGTCTACAGGGAATATAACATGGGAGTATATCTACCATAGTGCTCTGTCTACAGGGAATATAACATTGAGTATATCTACCACAGTGCTCTGTCTACAGGGAATATAACATGGAGTATATCTACCACAGTGCTCTGTCTACAGGGAATATAACATGGAGTATGTCTGCCATAGTGCTCTGTCTACAGGGAATATAACATTGAGTATATCTACCTTAGTGCTCTGTCTACAGGGAATATAACATGGAGTATATCTACCTTAGTGCTCTGTCTACAGGGAATATAACATGGAGTATATCTACCACAGTGCTCTGTCTACAGGGAATATAACATGGAGTATATCTTCTGTAGTGCTGTCTACAGGGAATATAACATAGAGTATATCTACCACAGTGCTCTGTCTACAGGGAATATAACATTGAGTATATCTACCACAGTGCTCTGTCTACAGGGAATATAACATGGAGTATGTCTGCCATAGTGCTCTGTCTACAGGGAATATAACATTAAGTATATCTACCTTAGTGCTCTGTCTACAGGGAATATAACATGGAGTATATCTACCTTAGTGCTCTGTCTACAGGGAATATAACATGGAATATATCTACCACAGTGCTCTGTCTACAGGGAATATAACATGGAGTATATCTTCTGTAGTGCTGTCTACAGGGAATATAACATGGGAGTATATTTACTGTAGTGCTCTGTCTGAAGGGAATATAACATGGAGTATATCTACCATAGTGCTCTGTCTACAGGGAATATAACATGGAGTATATCTACTGTAGTGCTCTGTCTACAGGGAATATAACATGGAGTATATCTACCGTAGTGCTCTGTCTACAGGGAATATAACATGGAGTATATCTACCGTAGTGCTCTGTCTACAGGGAATATAACATGGGAGTATAAATGCTCATTCTGCCCAGTATTGCAGAGTCACCACTTTTGACAAGTGTAGACCACTCTAGAAGAAAGAGGATACCTTGGCTTAGAATGATGAGAAAGATGATGATGCAGTCATCTCACATGGACAAAATTTATATACAGAATGGCTTCTTTCAGCCATTTTCCAGCAGTATCAAATCAATTCCAAAGACAACAACGGGCATTACACATTGTACCCATGTGAGAATTTAAATTTAGGTCTTGGATCTGACGAGTGACGACCTGACTACCCACACATACTCAAACCAGTGGAAATCCTGCAGAATTATTTCCTATACATATCCATAGTCAGGGTCTGACTAGTGACTACATACCCATAGTCAGGGTCTGACTAGTGACTACTTGACTACCCACACATACTCAAACCAGTGGAAATCTTGCAGAATTATTTCCTATACATATCCATAGTCAGGGTCTGACTAGTGACTACTTGACTACCCACACATACTCAAACCAGTGGAAATCCTGCAGAATTATTTCCTATACATATCCACAGTCAGGGTCTGACTAGTGACTACTTGACTACCCATACATACTCAAACCAGTGGAAATCCTGCAGAATTATGTCCTATACATACCCACAGTCAGGGTCTGACTAGTGACTACTTGACTACCCATACATACTCAAACCAGTGGAAATCCTGCAGAATTATGTCCTATACATACCCACAGTCAGGGTCTGACTAGTGACTACTTGACTACCCACACATACTCAAGCCAGTGGAAATCCTGCAGAATTATTTCCTATACATACCCACAGTCAGGATCTGACTAGTGACTACTTGACTACCCACACATACTCAAACCAGTGGAAATCATGCAGAATTATTTCCTATACATACCCATAGTCAGGGTCTGACTAGTGACTACTTGACTACCCACACATACTCAAACCAGTGGAAATTATGCAGAATTATTTCCTATACATACCCACAGTCAGGGTCTGACTAGTGACTACTTGACTACCCACACATTCTCAAGCCAGTGGAAATCATGCAGAATTATTTCCTATACATACCCATAGTCAGGGTCTGAGTCATAGCTGCCATAACTGTCAAACAGATCAGTAGCATTGATTCCCACAGTCACGTTTCCCTGGAAGCATAAGAAACAAGATATTGGCAATGTCAGCAATCTGGAATCAAATATCGGAAGGTTGTATGGATGGAAAGTCATATGGATGGGAGGTCATATGGATAGAAGGTCAAATCAATAGAAGGTCATATGGATAGAAGGATGGGAGGTTGTATGAATGGGGTGGTTATATGAACTGCAAGGATGTATGGATGGGGTGGTTATATGAACAGCAAGGATGTATGGATGGGGTGGTTATATGAATAGCAAGGATGTATGGATGGGATGGTTATATGAATAGCAAGGATGTATGGATGGGATGGTTATATGAACAGCAAGGATGTATAGATGGGGTGGTTATATGAATAGCAAGGATGTATGGATGGGGTGGTTATATGAATAGCAAGGATGTATGAATGGGGTGGTTATATGAACAGCAAGGATGTATGGATGGGATGGTTATATGAACAGCAAGAATGTGTAGATGGGGTGGTTATATGAATAGCAAGGATGTATGGATGGGGTGGTTATATGAATAGCAAGGATGTATGGATGGGATGGTTATATGAATAGCAAGGATGTATGGATGGGGTGGTTATATGAACAGCAAGAATGTATAGATGGGGTGGTTATATGAATAGCACGGATGTATGGATGGGGTGGTTATATGAATAGCAAGGATGTATGGATGGGATGGTTATATGAATAGCAAGGATGTATGGATGGGGTGGTTATATGAACAGCAAGAATGTATAGATGGGGTGGTTATATGAATAGCACGGATGTATGGATGGGGTGGTTATATGAATAGCAAGGATGTATGGATGGGGTGGTTATATGAATAGCAAGGATGTATAAATGGGGTGGTTATATGAACAGCAAGGATGTATGGACGGGGTGGTTATATGAACAGCAAGGATGTATGGAGGGGATGGTTATATGAACAGCAAGAAAATATGGATGGGATGGTTATATGAACAGCAAGAATGTATGAATGGGATGGTTATATGAACAGCAAGAATGTATGGAGGGGATGGTTATATGAACAGCAAGAAAATATGGATGGGATGGTTATATGAACAGCAAGAAAATATGGATGGGATGGTTAAATGAACTGCAAGAATGTATGAATGGGATGGTTATATGAACAGCAAGAATGTATGAATGGGATGGTTATATGAACAGCAAGAATGTATGAATGGGATGGTTATATGAACAGCAAGGATGTATGGAGGGGTATTGACACTCACCCTGGGGTTTGTTCTCTGTTGAAGTCGTCTCTCCTCTCTCTCCCGCTGGAGACGCTCATACTCCGCAATAATCTCAGCTGGAGACTTGGTCCGCGATATAACCTGGTTGGCAAATCAGAAATTGGATCAATTCAATTATACGAATAACAAACCCCAATGACATTCAAATTCAGTTCATAAGGACATAAGTGAGTGAGTGAGTGAGTATGGTTTTATGTAGCTTTTAGCAATATTCCAGCAATATCACGGCCTCACACATTGTACCCATGTCGGGAATCGAACCCGAGTCTTCGGCATGACGAGCCAACACTTTAACCACTAGGCTACCCGACCGCCCCCATAAGGACAATAAAAACAAAGCCATAGCACACTGTTTCTCAGCAGGTACATTCAAAGTGAGCTGAATGTCTTTGTTTTTTATGTTAGCCTGTAAATCATCAAATCTTGACCAGACAATCCAGTGATTGATATAATGACTGCAGAGCTACAGATAAGCTGCAGATTGGCATAAAATACCCCTCAAAAATATTCAAAACCTAATTACTTTCAATTAACTTGCGTACAGAAACGCATGCATTAAATGAAAAACTCAAATGTATAACATACGCGTAAATACCCACTGAAGATTTTTCAGCATGCGTACAATGGAGCTAAGTTCTGAAACACAGTTACTAGCTAAAGTACTTTCCAATCAAGCCTATATATTTAGAACAGTTATTATGGTTATATACATAAAAACCATTATTTCATGTTTTTTTAAATCTTAAAATGTTCACTCTTTTTGGAAAACCCAAAAGTGTGATGAATAGATGAGTGAAAAATTATATTGGCTACCCAATTAAAAATGCAATAACCTAATTAAAATAGAAACCCAGAGTAAAAACTCAATTGCTCAAAAAGTTATCTGGAGCTCTGTGACCAACAGTTAACACATTCAGGGTATGTTGACATGCTCTCGACCAAGTTATCAATCCATTAAGTCAACTTGTACAATAAACACAGGATGCCCGACACTAATTCAAGCCTAGAATCCTCATGGGGCTAGTTAATGCATTGCTGTTTATTGGCTGTTTATTGGCTGTGTATGTTGTTTGTGAGAGGACAGTACGATCTCGATAATCATTGGGTAACCATGGTTACAAACATTCATGAAAACTATCACCACATTTGTTAAAGCAGTTTTGATGTGGGATCTTTTCTCCTTTTTCACAATATTAACAATAGCCAAGGTTGGGTTGTCTGACTGTCACATACAATTTTCTTTTCAATTTAAAAGAAAATAATTCCTAATCAAAATCATTGTAATGTATGCAACAATTAATTCTGAACTCCATTGTTGCGCTATTCTCAATTTGACACACAAGAAACACAAACACAGTAATTTGTGTTTGCTTATAAGTTAAAGACACAACTATCTCACCTCCAAACCTTCTGTCTCAAGACCTTTCTCTCCATACATGTCATAGATTGTCCTCTTGTGTCGGTCTTTCAGAACTGGGGGACACAGAGAGAGGCACATGGTGATATCTGTGTTCTACACACAAACCAATGAACATGTTGAATGTAAACAGGGGTAGATTTATCAACAAATTTGTATGTAGCCAGCAGGGATGCTCCTTTAAAAAGTAACTGGCCTTTCTTCAAACTACCACCGACCGTCTCCGTGGTCTAATGGTAGAGCGTCCAGCAGGAGTGAGGAAGGTCCGGGGTTCGATCCCTGGCCGCGTCATACCAAAAGACGTTAAAAGATGGTACTTGTTGTTACCCTGTCAGGCGCTCAGCATTAGGGGCTAAAACAAGGACTGGTCGGCTCGGAGTCAGTATACTGTGTCTGAGTGGGGTATTCATGTTAAACTGCGGCATGGTATCTCGGTGAGCTAGCACTATAAATCAGCATCAGTCCGGACTAGTACAAGCAGCCACACACACACACACACACACGTGCATGCACGTCGCTATATAAGTGCAATAATCTTGGACGCGACGTTAAACCCCATTTCACCTCACCTCCAACTACCACCTACAAGTAAGAGACGGAGGTGCGAAGTAGCAGAACCTGAGGTCGCAATGCCACCAAGCAGGGCTCTGAAATTTAGAACTGACCCATAAAATGATTTTTTTCCTGCTCTCTGAGATTAAATCTTGGCTTCCATCTGCTTCATTTCATGGCGATTTGTGAGCAAATAAAGAAGTAGTTGTACCCAACATTACAAAATTGCAGCCAGTTGTCATTTTACCGAGATGATCCAATCAAAATAATTAAACATACACGGAGAAGGGGTGAAATTTTGACTAGCCAGACAGACCATCTACTTTACATTTCAGCAAGCCCTGTATAATTTTAACTGGCCACAGGCCAATGGGCCAGCAGTTAAATCAACCTGTGTAAAGATGTGGTGCTACTCTCGGCATACTAACCCAGAATCCCCAAGGGGAGACAAGCACAAGTTGATGGGGACCTATTCTAACCCAGAATCCCCAAGGGGAGACAAGCACAAGTTGATGGGGACCTATTCTAAACCAGAATACCCAAGGGGAGACAAGCACAAGTTGATGGAGACCTATTCTAACCCAGAATCCCCACAGGGAGACGAGCACAAGTTGATGGGGACCAATTCTAACACAGAATCCCCAAGGGGAGACAAGCACAAGTTGATGGGGACCTATTCTAAACCAGAATACCCAAGGGGAGACAAGCACAAGTTGCTGGGGACCTATTCTAAACCAGAATACCCAAGGGGAGACAAGCACAAGTTGATGGGGACCTATTCTAAACCAGAATACCCAAGGGGAGACAAGCACAAGTTGCTGGGGACCTATTCTAAACCAGAATCCCCAAGGGGAGACAAGCACAAGTTGATGGGGACCTATTCTAACCCAGAATCCCCAAGGGGAGACAAGCACATGTTGATGGGGACCAATTCTAGCCCAGATTCTCAAGGGGAGACAAGCACAAGTTGCTGGGGACCTATTTTAACCCCGAAATCCCCAAATGGAGACAAGCAGAAGTTGCTGGGGACCTATTCTAACCCCGAATCCCCAAATGGAGACAAGCAGAAGTTGCTGGGGACCTATTCTAACCCAGAATCCCCATGCAAAGCAGAACCTAACGACAACCACCACCATCTCTACATAACATGGGAACAAACCTTCATTTGCACGTTTAAGTTTATTGAATATAACTTCCGCCTTTTTCTTCTTCACTGGGTCTGTGTGTTTGTCTGGGTGGTAGGTCTTGCTTAGTCGGCGGAAGGCATAGTTGATTTCATCTGTTGATGCCTGCAATGAAAGTAACAATTTCCACATGGTCGCAGCATAATTACAGCCTTTGAAATTCCGCTTGTCCGCAAGTCTGCGACTACTTAATTGCAGGGATGTGTTGACCCAGAAAAGAGGAAAACTCTATGGGGGTCTGGGGGCATGCACCCCCCCCCCCCCCCCCCCCCCCGCCCCCCATGGTTTTACGCGCTTTTAGCAATATTCCAATTCCAGCAATATCACGTGAGGGACACCAGAAATGGGCTTCACACATTGTACCCATATTGGGATTCGAACCTGGGTCTTCAGCGTGACGAGCGAACACCTTAACCGCCAGGCTACCCGACCGCACCCTCAACTGAACCTAGTCAGGACCTTCCAAGAGCTTTTGATCAGAAAGTTGTTTCTGGACAAGATGCACTACATACATGCATAATCAATTATCATGATTATTATTGCTACCATTAAAAAAATCAACTAATCCTTTTGATACAAGTGCCACCCCACGCCTCACCCCACTCACACACATCTCACAAAAATATGAGTGTCGAAAAAAACAAATATGGCAGGTACGTAGGATATTTTTTTTTTCTTTCCAAATCAGTTTGTAGGTTTGCAGTTTGTCTGAAAAAACCTGTTTTCAAATGACGCTTATGTCTGGTTCATCTATAACTTGGAAGGTGAAGAGCAATAAATATAAGCTTCTTTTATTTTTGTCTACAGTACCCTTGCATAACATAACCTGTTATTCATTTAACTATTGTGACAGTAAATATGTCACAATGGACTTCACTGTACCACCTGTCAGAACATCTTACGGAAAATACAGTCAAGTCCCGTTAATCCGACATGGTCGGTTGCATATGATTATGGCGGATTAACGAGTATGTCGGATAAACGATATTAAGTAAATCGAAAATCGATCGAAAATCGGACAACTACACGATAGATAACAATATAAACACGGTTGCATATGATTATGGCGGATTAACGAGTATGTCTGATAAACGACATTAAGTAAATCGAAAATCGATCGAAAATCGGACAACTACCCGATAGATAGCAATATAAACACGTAAAAAAAGAAATAAAAATGAAATATTCATATTGTTATGTTACATTGTTACTGGAATATGTTTTCTAATCATGCAACATATAAAGCCTAACACAAAACAACTGTTACGGACTGTACGACTGATTCAAAATACTTCAAAAAAACATAGTGTGGAATGGAAGTTGCAAGTTTGAAACTGGTACCGCAGAGCTTAAGACTCGTCTCGCATCAAAACATGGGCTGTGTACGTACGATGATCACTGTGTCGGATAAACGAGACTGCAAATTAGGTGTGTCGGAGTGCGAGACTGTCGAATTAACGGGTCTAAATAGAACTGATTTAATCGGTTCCTATCATTAGTGTCGGATAAAACCGATTGTCAGAATAATGAGAGTCGGATTTACGAGACTTGACTGTATAATACAAAATACACCATTCATTTGAGTGAACACTAGCGTATTCAGTGTTCCATAACACAAAGCACAAACCTAACATTGATATCAAAATAGACTGCACTGTATTGTCTACAAAAACAAGACCATCTGACATAGTGGTCATATTCCCTGCACGTTTTACTAAACCACCTCCCATCAAAGTATGATGCCGCCAGTATGGTACCACTGCCACAGGCCAGCGCCATGTGACGATTCATCACATCTTACAGTCTATTCAAGATTCATATGTTCTTCATCTGTTTCATTTTTGACAAGTCCACATCTCGATAAACTTATGAATGGTTAACTTTCATTGTGAAATATCCTAAATCGTGAAAAACTATTTCCATATGTGTAGTTATCCTATGTTTACATTGATTGCACGGCTCCACGTGCAGCCATCGAAGCTCACTTTGATGTACAAATATATATTGTCGTGCACCTCACCATCGCAGTTGTAGTACCATATCTATATAATTATGCAAAACATGTGCTGCTACTATGTGAGAGCTAGCGATACAGTCACTTTGATGTATAAAGCTATATTGTCACGCAGCTCACTGTCACAGTTGTAGTAGCATGTGTATATAATTGTGCAAAACAATATGTAAAGTGCCCAATAATACTTGCATTAGTTTGTTCAGATTTCAGAAAAAGCGTGTTTGACCACAGCTTGGTTAAAGGACATTATCAAAATTTGTACCCCTTTTGGTCCTGTTGCTAAGTCAGCACTGGGCCAGGGTGTGGGACTGAACATGTTATAACTTCTAACCAGAGGAAAACAAAGGAGACGCCTACATCTCAGCTGTTGACATGTTTGACCACAGCTTGGTTAAAGGACATTATAAAAATTTGTACCCCTTTTGGTCAAGAAGAAAGCTCTAAACTTAACAAATAGCTGGGTAAATTATGCCAACACAAAGAAACATAATTTTGTCATATTTTAAATATATCAGAGAAAAGGTAGAAATTAATTGTCCTTGGTGTAACCATTATAGTTACTGATCTTTTGCAGAAATAAAAAATAAATACTAAACGATCGATATAATTTCAATATTCTTTATTTATTGAACATGTTCTTTGTACTTGTTGAAAATCATGCTGTGCAATGTGTATTTATCTGAATCATTTTTAGAATTTCCTCTGGTAGCACCAAACACAAAACGGTTACACCATTACTCATAATGACTTTTCTTTCATGTCACAATAATCTATCAGTAGGAAATATAGTTGGTGATGCATATTTGCAATGACATTAGACATTTTTGCCTCACAACGTTTTCTTTGAAGTTAATACTGCTGACCTGTGGTAACACCAAAGACATTTAGTGATTACACAGGGACCTAAGTCAGAGTGTTTTCATAAGTTTAAGTGTTAATAGTAGTTTAGAGTTGTAATTATAATGGCAAAAGACATGTTTTACCCGCTAACACTATCTTCAAAGTTTTTATTTGCTGACTTGTGTGGTAACACCAAGTGAGTGAGTGAGTGAGTATGGTTTTATGCCGCTTTTAGCAGTATTCCAGCAATATCACGGCGGGGGACACCAGAAATGGGCTTCACACATTGTACCCATGTTGGGGATCAAACCTGGGTTTTCGGCGTGACTAGTGAACGCTTTAACCACTAGGCTACCAGACTGCCCCGGTAACACCAAGGACATATTAAGTAACACCAAAGACATTTAGCTTCATCTAACTCTAAGTTAGAGTGTTCTAATAACAGTACAAGTTTAAGTGTTAATATGATCAAAGAGTAATGTCAATGTCACACGACATGTTTAGCCATTGCCCATTCTAAGTTAATAATTGCTGACTTGTGGTAACACCAAGGACATATTAAGTTACACCAAGGACATATTAAGTAACACCAAAGACATTTTGTCATGATTCTGGTAACAGGTAACAAGGTAACACCAAATACAGGAAACTTTCATATGGTGATGCTTGGTGTTACCTTTTTTCAGTTTGAATAACTTTTTCTTCAGTTGACTCAAAAAAACTTTTCTCCATGGAAGACAAGAATTGATATGATATTGGAACATTCATTTAACTTCTTTCCACATAAAGATGGATAACTCTAACACCTAATTAAACAAATGGTTAGACCAAGATAGGAACCTTTAAGACAGGCATGGTTTGCATATTTTTCATTATCTAGAGATAGAAACATAGATAAAACTGACGTTTATTTTAAAGAAGATTCTAATCCCCTTAGTAAAATAACAACATAAAAACTCATCAAAAGGTGGAACACATGCACCAACCCCAAAATCCAAGATGCTAAGAATAGCATGATTCTGTACCTGCAGTTAACAAATACCCTCAAGCTGTTAAAATCAAGGGTAGGTAACTCTACTGCTATCCCTGACATCTCTTGTCTGAGTTGTCATCATTTGAATATAGACATAATTCCTGGTCTTTATAGCTGTATAACATATATAGATATATGGATATGCACTAGCTATAATAAGACTCGTTTTGAAATTGTTCTATCTTTACATAACCATGATAAGGATTCAAAACGAACAGCTGATTGAGAAACCTAGTAAGGTTGCAATATACGTACCAGAGACCATGGGCCCTAAATACCAGCTGCTGCCGGTGATGCTTTACACGTGAATCAAAACAGCACATATTTCGGAAGGAACGTAAAACAAGTTGCTAAGATAAACTTTGAGAATCAAGAAACCGATTGCATCTGTTTTCAAACAAAAATCGTGCCTCATCTTGTCATTACATCAGATGTTTTATACATCACATAAGATTTCAGATTTTGAGCAATCATTTTCAAACCTTTACGTTGCCTGTAATTAAAAAAAATGAAATTAATCTTACATCTGTAGATACATTCAAAAGTGAGTAAAAGTTTTCGGAGACCGGGTCCTCGTCGTCCTCCAAGGGCGCAGCCATTTTGTGGAAGTGATGTAACAGTGTATGCTACTATCCAAACAACATATTTGAAGTTATCTGTTGCTGTGTAATTTCCAACAGAAAATATATATGTAGATATACGGGCAACTGTCCTTAGAGTTATCAAAGAAATCAAAGTGAAACATTCAGGAAATAAATATATTAATTACAATACGTAGCCCCGTGGGGTTTCCGGGTTATAAAAGATAATTATTCTATGCTAGCGTATAAGAGATGACCTATCGGATTGGGTTATTCAAACTCAGTGACTCCAGTTCGTGATATTAGTAATCCAATTGACGATATAATTCATTCTTTACTGTTATCATGAAGTGAATTAAATATATCAGCAAATATTGGATGATATCGTGAAATGGATTAATGTCATCAGTTTTAAGTACGATACTTACAATAAATAACACTATCGTTAATCCAATTTTACTGATCTTTGTATATCAACTGATCATATCATAAAATGAAAATCGAGTTACAGATATCAATAAAAGAATTACTGATATAAAGGAACTGGTGACATCAATAAATCTAACCTATTCACGATATCACAAAATATGATAAATCAGCAATATATGGCAAGCCATTTTCACTTGAATTTCCGATCTACTGATATCAATTCTTTTCATTATATCAATATTTACTTAATGATGTCAGTATTTTTTTATTTATAAACATTTATTCATTTCTTTTAGTGATATGACGATAATTATTTACATCTGAATACTTGATGATAGTGAAATGAATTAATAATACCATTTAAAGAATTTGTGAAAATTTGAATTTATTTCATGATATCACTTACAATGAGTAATGAGTGGCCTAATTGTCAAAAAGGTGCCACAATTATTTTTGAAGAGTTGCGTCCCTTTGGATAACTCATAAATCGTGGGTTCGAATTCCAGATTCGACATGGATATGTTTCTTGGTTTTCAGACACTCGCCCATGCACGTGGGTTTCACTAAAACTCACTCATCCTGAGAAGACATGTGACACTCACTCTACAAGCTGAGGCGGCATGCCACACTCATGCATATACAACTTGGCGAAGCAGGATCCATTCCCAGTATTCCGAGCTACCATTTAACTGATACCCAGTAGAGTAATATCACGATTTAGCGCTCACTGTCGAGCGTCAAGTAATAAATGTTCTATTTTGAGTATGTTTCCCCAGTATAAAGCGAGGACACCAAAATGGTCAACGTTTTGAAGACCTAGCGTCAGTTGAAGCGGCGTAAACCACACGTTCACTCTGAGAATTGTGCCCGTGAAGAGCGGTTAGAATCGGAATTTAACAACCTATTCTTGTCGTAAGAATCAACTACACTTGTCGTGTAAGAGGCGACTTACGGGGCTGGGTGGTCAGACTTGCTGACATGGTTCATGCACAATCCATGCCATCGTATCCCAATTGCGTTGATTAATGCTCATGATGCCAGAAATGGATTGTCTGGTTCAGACTCGATTATTTGTAAACAGACCGCCGTCATATAGCTGGACTATTGCTGTGTGCGGCGCTAAACATCACACTTCAAAACCATTCTGAGAATTGCTTGTGGACAAGGCATATATATATACCGTCCGGGGTTACAATATGTTGTTTGGGGGGCCAGTATCGTTTGATTGTATATTGTGAATGTACGGTTTCCAGGAACCCCCAGTGAAGAGTCATGATATTAATAACTGGATTGTCTGGGCCAGACTCGATTATTTACAGACCGCCGTCATATAGCTGGAATATTGCTGAGTGCGGCGTTAAACAACCAACCAACCAACCAACCTAGTGAAGAGACCGCCTCTGTGGTGTAGTAGGCAGAGCATCTGCCTGGAGAGTTGAAGCTCGTGGGTTTGATTCCCTGGCCGCTTCATAACAAAAGATGTTAAACATGGTACGTGTTGTTACCCTGTCTGGCGCTACTAGCGTATACAGCAAGGACTATTTGGCTCATTGTCAGTATGCTTTCTGAGTGGGGTATCCATGTTATAATGCGGCATGGATCTTAGTGCATGGATAAGTATACTATACAACCAGCATTAATCCGGACTAGTACACGCGCGCGCGCGCGCACGCACGCACGCACGCACGCACACACACACACATGCATGCAGATCGCAATATAAGTGGAATAATGTTGAACCCGACGTTAACCCCATTTCACGCTACCTCCGCCGAGTAAAGACTCAATGACAGAATAGATCCCTATATATAGTGTATATATATATGTTTGTGTAAGAGTCTACCATATAAAAGTTCCACGCATGTGTGAAGGAAAATTGTTGTTCACAATATTACATGAACCTCTGATTTAGTTTTAATCGTGAAAACAGTAACCACGGTAACTGCTCCGTCCTGCTGGTATACTGCCGATGAATCTGCTCTTCAGACCCGTGGACCCCTGAAGATCCGGGATAGAATAGTTGTTCAGCAACCCAAGCTTGCCGAAAGAGGCGGCGGCTATGGTTGTCGTAAGATGCGATTAATGGGATCAGGTGGTCAGGCTCGCTGACTTGGTTGAAGCATGTCATCGTATCCAATTGTGTGGATCGATGCTCATGATGTCAATCACTGAACTGTCTGGTCCAGACTTGATTATTTACAGACCGCCGTCAAACAAACAATAGACCTGTGACACTACTCTGCGAGTAATTTTAGAATATCCAGTGCGGATTTCTATTTGGGTTACTTGAGCAAACCTTCATTTCTTCCTTGAAAAAGTAAACGTAATTATATTTAGTTACTGGTAAAGGTGACTACACAATGGCGATGTGAATACAATGAAGATTGCATATGCTTTCATGTTTCTGTTCGCTATTTATAGCACGTTTTTTTCACTGGACTAACGATTGAATTTCTCCAGCATTCCCGTTAATAACGAGATCATGTCATCGGAAAATGTCAAAGTGGCTTTCATTTCAGTTGTTGTGCCGTGTGACTGGCGTTTGACTAGCAGACGATGCATCTTGCTGACAATAGTTGTTTGGAAGATTCGATACTGCCTTAAGTAAGTTTATTTACGAATGCAGCGAGTTTACAACTGCACATTAATACCAGATGATCCATTTCGTTGTATCGTTTGTTTGCAAGCGAGCTATACCTTCATAAAAGCGAGGTTTTATCAGAAAACTGTTGATCCGGCTATATCTTGTTTCCGGTTGCGCATGTGCAGAGTGATTATGATGGCCGACGAGAAGGTGGAAGTGAAGATGTGAGTGAAAATTGTTTTTGTAAAATAATTTCACACTTCTGTTCAATAGCAAAATATGCTGTTGGTATATGATATGTATATGCAACAAGAACATTCATGCTTCATTATTGTAGTAACTCACAGCTTGTGTGGAAAACATTTTGTGTTGTAAAAAGTCTAGTTAATCGTTTGACAATTTTTTGGATATGTCAACATTGGCAAGTAAAGAAAACAAATAGGCGAACGAACAGCAATACAGTCTATATGAGTTTCAACCATACGTGTTTTCACCAATTCAATGATTTAGACATTCATTGGCAACAATGCATGTGTTTATTGTCCTGAATTTGCCTTTGATTTTTTTCTTCAATTAGGCCTAGCCTACCTGGTTCTTATTTTCGCTGCTATCATATTTACTGAATTTGTCAAAGATCTTGATGTTATTGTTTGGTAATAATCCTGAATGTTTAAAATTATTTCATGAAATATACTTATTTTATTCATCACTAGAATAAGAGAGCTTTTAAATAATTCAAGGGTGTATAAACCATGACTTGTTCAATTATTTATTTGCTTTGACTATAATGGGACCTATAATGTAACCTAATTTGAGATGTGTCACTTGTTTGATGGTCTAAATAGTTATATGATGCCTACTATCTTAGACTACTCTAATGATATTTCACACTTTTGCAGGTAGATGGTGCTTTATGTCAGTCATCTAGACACACCCACTCTTCGTGTATTTTAACAATGGATACCACGAGAGGATAAATTACAAATATTGATTATAACTGGCCTTGACCTACAAACCAATTACCTATAGAATATTTCCTCAACTTTCATCAGTCAAGGTGAGTTCAAAGATATTATATTCTACAGATTATCTCCCTATTTTATAATATTATGATATGCTGGATTGTTTTGCATGTCTAGGAAATAATTAATTATCATCAAGTACCCTGTTTCTGAATGACACCTGTTTTCCAACAGCCATATTGATCATGATTTGTTGCGTTATGACAAGAGGTGTAAGAGCCAATGTATTGGCGGATAAGGTACAAGTTTCAAGATTCCTCGAAGCTGCCAACTTGACAGTGGATACATCCAGCATTTCAACATTGGTTCATTTGAAGTACCAGAGCTCCAGATAAGCTGCGTATCTGTGTAAAATACGCATAAAAAATGCAGAAATACGCAGTAAAATAAAACCATTTTTTGGGGGGGGAGGGGGGATGGTGCAGTTTTCTAAGGACAAGGCAATGCCATTGCTATGTAGACGTGCTGCTCGGATTCCATGTTGGTTTGAATTCCAGACTTGCCCTGATGATGTTTCTAGATTTGTCACCGCCTCATCCATGCTTGTGAGTTTTATCAGGCACAAAACTGAAGAAGCTGTTATATGTAACACAAAGCATGTAAAGCACCATAGCTAGCATATTTATCATAGCAACCAATCAAACAACATGTTGTACGGCACATACAATCGTAGAATCTATTGTTTATTACTGAGAAGACTATAGTGACCAATCAAACAGCATGTTGTATATATGACACATACAGTTGCAGAATCTGTTCTGTAATACTGAGGCATGGCAACCAATCAAACAGCATGTTGTATATATGACACATACAGTTGCAGAATCTGTTATGTAATACTGAGACATGGCAACCAATCAAACAGCATGTTGTATATATGACACATACAGTTGCAGAATCTGTTATGTAATACTGAGACATGGCAACCAATCAAACAGCATGTTGTAAACAGTATATATGACACATACAGTTGCAGAATCTCTTATGTAATACTGAGACATGGCAACCAATCAAACAGCATGTTGTATATATGACACATACAGTTGCAGAATCTGTTATGTAATACTGAGGCATGGCAACCAATCAAACAGCATGTTGTATATATGACACATACAGTTGCAGAATCTGTTATGTAATACTGAGACATGGCGACCAATCAAACAGCATGTTGTATATATGACACATACAGTTGCAGAATCTGTTATGTAATACTGAGACATGGCGACCAATCAAACAGCATGTTGTATATATGACACATACAGTTGCAGAATCTGTTATGTAATACTGAGGCATGGCAACCAATCAAACAGCATGTTGTATATATGTTCGCAAGCTCCGATGTTCATACAATGTTTGGCCCTCACTCTATGAAGGTTCATACTCCAATGAACTCACACAAAGCGAAGGCCAATTCTTAAATGTCAGACAATTTACAAGACGCCAAAACATTTCAGTCAATTTACAATTATTTTCCCGCAAGATTGATTAAAAGTTTGAGAAGTTTGAAGGGCTTAAAAACATCACAATTCACTGAATGTAAAAAAATATACATTGACTTCCGTTTTATTTAAATCCTATAATTTTCAGTCACTGGGTGATGAAGTATAAAAAGTTTTGTTATGATATAATAAATGGAAAAGATATTTGTAAAATGGCAGAAATATTTAGGGGTTTTGTAAATTGCCTAATTGACAATTGTACAAATTGACTGATTTTACACATTGACTGTAACTTATATATATGACACTCACTGTTGTAGAATCTGTTATGTAACACTGAGAATATGGCAAACAGTCAGTTTAGAGCTTGTTTACTTGTGAATTTAACCACACTAAAGTAAACATTTGAAACCTCACGCTGTGCATTCAATTCAAATTCACCTGGTGTAGTTAAATCTACAGGTAACCCAACTCCACAGTTTGTTTAACTCCTGAATCATATGTATCACTCGTTCACTTTGGGCATTCCTCCGACATGATGATAGTGTCACACTGTGATAATATCTCTGTGGTAGCCCTGAGTAGAATGTGTCCCAAGCAGCATCGCTAGTAGCAATAGCATGGTTTTAATAATAATAATAATAATAATAATGAGAATTTTCCTCGTAATTCCTGGATTTTTCCTCTCAGAATGAAGTAAAATGCACTTTTTAATCCTTTTTTATAAGGCCGCTGACTTGGTTGATACATGTCATCGATCCCAATTGTGTAGATCAGTGCTGATGATGTTAATCACTGGATTGACTGGTCCAGACTCGATTAGTTACAGACCGCTGTTATAAAGCTGGAATATTGCTGAGTGTGGCGTTAAACAACAAATAAACAAACAAAACTGGATATGACCAATGATGTCTTTCCCAAGAGATGTGACAGAATGATTTCCAGGTTAGAATTTGTCCCAAGGACAAATTCTAACCTGGAAATCATTCTGTCACCTCTCTTGGGCCTTAGCAATCCCTGCTGGTCGCAAGAGGTGACTTAATCATGTTAATGGATTGAGTGGTCAGGATCTGTGACTTGGTTGATGGTGTGTCAATGTACCCTGATGATGTGGATTGTTGCCGATATCAATCACTGGACTGTCCTTGTTGTCTAGTCCCGACTCAATTATTTACTGGCTGCCGTCACACAGCTGCAATATTCCTGAGTGTGGCGTTAAACAACAAACAAACAAACAAAAAGCTGTGATAATACCTCGACACAACTCCCTCACTTTCTCTGATCAATTCCCAGCTGTGTTTTAACTGGTCAAGTGTCATTGTGCCCCAGTCGCTTGGTACCAGTGATATATGTTTTCACATTGATTTTACAGGGGGTTAACTTCCAGGCTTCTTGGCAATCTGAAGCACTGTAATTGCTTTCTCCTTTGAGCAAAAATAAGAGCTTTTTTTTTATATACATGTTTATAGGTAATACCATAACATTGATCATGTTGATCATGTCAGTCTGTGACTGAAGAGAGAGTCTAGTGAACTTCAGCTTGGTCTGCATGGTCTGGTTACCACAGTTAATAATAATCAATATGACAACATTAAGATCAACTGAAAATGATGCTAGGAGCCAAGTGTGAACTGGAAGGCTCTAATGATTTTGGCTGTGGTAGCCAGTCTTAAAACTTAGGAGCATGGGCACCCTAAATCATTAACCTTTTACATGACAGCAGTGGCATGGATCTTTGACTTCTCTGCTATATTTTGACCATTGGTATCATGTGTCATTCAATGGCGATTACTGTTTCAGATTAAGTGTTATGTAAGGACCTTCTCACTGGAGTTCGGAGTGACCCTGACCCCATGGAAGAGCCAGCAGGGAACCCCGCTCCAGGCAACAGGTCAGGTGAGTCGCTCCCTTGCACAGGTACTCAGAATTCAGGGGTAGAAACTAACAGTTTTCGTCAACTAGTCCTTATAATGATCTACTAGTCCTTATGATACCTTTACCATTGGGCACTTTGGCAAGGACTAAAGGACTTGTGCCAATTTCTTATGCTGACTCTTCGCTGATAAACAACATATCAACATTTTGTACAGCCATTTTAAGGATGTCAAAATGCACAAGCTTTAAAAACATTTACATGGATGTAAATAATAATGACAAGTCCATTTTATGTACAGTGGTGTTAACTTTTGTATTCTCACAATTTTCACTTCGATTATCTGCACCTTTTCTCCCAATACCCTTTGTTGTATCTCGCTTACTTTTGGATGCAATCATTCGACCAAAGCGTATATCTGCTTGGCCCAGCTACATCAATGGGGAACTCCTCACTAAACACTTCCCTCTAAAAAATAATGTCCAATTTAAGACGTCTTCCAGTTGCTATTGCATGTTAGAATCTCCAGAAATGACATCATGATAATACAATGTTTTGTCGTGAAATAAACCACACTTCGTTATTCGTTGTTCTTTGTGATTTATCGCGTAGCTATCTTATTTAGACCGATAAAATGTCAATTTGACGGACAGAGTACTTTTCACCGATTGAAATGCTAAGCAAGGCATCACACATTTCATAATTTTATGATTAAAAAGTAAATCATGTAAATAGTAAGGATTACTCCTACTGACAGTATCTATTTAATAGACCCATGAAGATTCCGGTGTAGAATAGGTCTTGAGCAACCCATACTAACTTGCTGTAAAAGGCGAATATGCTTGTCGTAAAAGGCGACTAACGGAATCAGGTGGTCAGGTTCACTGACTTGGTTGATACATGTCATCGATCCCAATTGCATGGATCGGTGCTCATGATGTCAATCACTGGATTGTCTGGTCCAGACTCGATTATTTTACAGACTGCTGTCTTATAGCTGGAATATTGTTAAACAACAGACACACAGACAAACAAACAAATCTAATAAAACAATGCACAGCCATCAAAAATCATAATTGGCAACTTTGGAATTGTTTATGAAATGCTTCAAGAGAGCTAAGACAGTTTGCAATCTGTTTCATTGCAAATTATTTACAGAGAAATCTTTTTGTCTTGTTTCCTTTTTCCTTTGGCATCTTCCTTAAATTCTGTTTATCAATCTTCAGTGCTTGTTTGATCTATTTGTGAGCATGAAGAGGGACAACAGCTTGATGATAATATCCTTCATTGATCAACGGAACATAACGTAACATGTGGCAAACCTCTTTGTGATGAGGCTGTCTGATTCTCACACTACTCACCACTGGTCAGTGTTGGCATGGACAGTCTGGATGATAACTAGGGGTCAAACGATACAGCAGGGTCACGATCAGGGGTCCGGAAAATTTAAAATCCCAATCGGACATTTGCATTTCGGCCATGCCCCCTTCAAATAGCGTATTTTAGTACGACTTTACACATTACAAGTTGTTACGTATTCATAATATGATGAATTATGAATTGTTTAATTTTAAATTGTTTAATTCACCGGACAATTAATATCGTGACTCACGATACAATTCATATCACAATACAAAGGTCTTGATACGATACATATTTAGATGCGCATGTTTATGTCAAATCACTTCTTGACAATAAATATTTAAGAGCAGTTTCCAAAGGAAAAACTAGCTGTAGATACATGTTCGTTGTGGCTATTTTTAGCTGTGAACTTGAAATGATAATTACAACACATTTTGCAATATCTGACAGACAAGAACGCCAGGGCTCATTTAATGACTAGTAAGTAATTTATTTCAGCAGGTGTATCATCTTGTATTGCTACAGAAAGAAAACGTATCGTGTATCGTATCACCACACAAAAAGTCACGATTCACCGGACATGACAATAGACTGCAATATGTCGAGATAAATACACCTCACTTTATAAATGCAAGCAACTCTCACATTTTTGGGGGGCGGTCGGGTAGCCTCGTGGTTAAAGCATTTGCTTGCCACGCCGAAGACCCGGGTTCGAATCCCGACATGGGTACAATGTGTGAAGCCCATTTGTGGTGTCCCCTGCCGTGATATTGCTGGAATATTGCTAAAAGCGGGGTAAAACCATACTCACTCACATTTTGGCATAAATTTCAGGATTTACAGTATACTGTGGGTAATCATTTTGTGGGTCTTTTAATAAACTCTGCAATTTCACTTGTACGGAGATGTTTTGTTGCAATACAATATTTCAATAGTAATGTTGTAAAATTATACATTATCATGATTATAAATATGTCCTGTGTATGTATATGAAAATTTGACGCTTTTTATGTTATGGAGTTGTATTGCATCATCATAGAGAATGACTAGACACTTTTTGGCAATCATTACCATATTAAGTGTGTGACAAAGATATAAATATACTTCATCATGTTCATTGTACAATGAATTTCATATTTTGCGTTTGGTCCAAATGAAATTTGAACATTGTTGACATCGTTATTTTTATATTTAAGCAGATTGTAAAAGTTCAATGGTTAAGGTCTAGCCCTGACTGACACTGTCGCATGTCCTGACATTTGACCTTGATCTTGACCTTGACCTTGCCATCATCATTGACAGATAACCGCACTCCCTTAGATTGTTATAACCCTTCAGCTTGAGTATCTCTCCCGACAACTGTTGACACAGGGTACTCCCTGTCCAGGATGTTGATAGACTACAGGCCATTTGTCAGTTACAGGCTGTGCTCATATCCTGACCTGGCTGGGAAGCAATGACCTCACTCCATTACCTGTCAGGATACCTTTAGTTGTTTGTGGAGGCTGCTCTGCTGTTATACGGGGGGGTCGGGTAGCCTAGTGGTTAAGGCGTCCGCTCGTCACACCGAAGACCCGGGTTCGATTCCTGACATGGGTACAATGTGTGAAGCCCATTTCTGGGGGTCTTGCAATTTTGTTCAAATTTGGTAATGATACAGACATGACAGAAGATTGTCCTTTCCAAAATTGATGGAATTCTGAAAATGTCCCAATGGCATTCGTCTCTAGCAAAATCACTGATCTGTATTTACTTCATCAGACTAATGACCAGTCATGGTAGCACTGAGACATCAAACCATTCTTCTGGCATGTTAGAAAGTATCTGTAATACTTTAATGGAATATGGAAATTGACCCCTCAAAAAACTTCAAAGACAAGAGATCACTCTGACTTACTAAAACCACATCCTAACAATGAACGCTAAACGCTACATACTATTCACCCTATTGAATATAATACCCTTAAGAGGCCCAGTTGACAGCCATAGCAAGATTTAAGTCATTGAAACACCATACAAATGTATAAAATGAAAGTTTGACCCTTGGTACACCCTTATGTAATCAATGTCTGGGAGATATCATTGTTATTACAATGTCTAGACAGTAGACAGAGACCGGAACTTGGCACTGGACCGTGGGTTCACCTCCAATTGGCTGTTTGAGAGATACTAAACTGTTGTTAGGTCGGACTCCATAGCTGTTCCACATACATGTTACTAAAATGTACCAGTCCCCCTTATTTTTGCCAGTCCCAACTTTCAACAAAAAAAAAAACATATGGAAATTATTTGGTTTTAATTCTTTCAACATCATGTTCAAAGATGGTTGATAAGTAACGAAGCTTTAGATCTCTAAGTCATTATCACAAACTTCAGTCACAATTTTCTCTCTCTTTTTTTTTTAATATTTCAAGACAAAGTTGCGACAAATAGATATTTAACCTAGAAATAGACAAGGGGAAACCCTGATGGCAACAGACAAGCTGACTTTGTTTGTAAAATATACTTGTGTGAATATCACCGACAACAAAGATTTATTGGGCACTTTATTTGCCGGTCCACAGTGACTGGCAGTCACATGAATTATCAGTCCAAGCCTAATTTTACCGGTACAAAACTGGTAATTACCGGTAAACGGGAACGCTGAATATATCAAACAGGCCCTGAAGTGGTGCCTTTTGCTATTTATGGCTTTTTGGCTTCTTTTTTTTTTCTCGATTTCCACGAAGACAGTTTGGACATAGACACTAAAGGTGGGATGGATTTCGTTTCCTGAGCACAACTAAAAAAACTTTCAATATCTTTCAACAAAAATTGGCAGATATTTCAAACAGATACTAAAGTGGTGCCTTTTGCTATTTTTGGATTTTTGGCATTTTAATTTTTTCGATTTCTATGGAAACCATTTGGACTTAGTCTCATAAAGGAGGGGTAGGTGTTGTTTCCGGAGCACAACTTGAAAACTGTGAAAGACTTTTCATCCTAACCTGGTACATGTATTAACCAAGGGCAGAAGTGGTGCCTTTTGCTGTTTAGGAGTTTTTCAAAATTAGATTTTTCCGTTTCCGTGGTTCCATGTCCAACTGTTCAACATTATTAATCAAGGGCTTAAGTCATGCCTTTTTCTATTTAGAAATTTAAAAAATATTAGTTTTTCCTGTTTCAATGGCAACACGTTTGACTTTGACTCTAGTAGTGTGTTTGTCCGGGTTTGTCTCTAAAACTAATAGGTATTCTTTGTTGAAACTGTGCATACACAAAGACCAGGTTGCCAGATGATGCCGTTTGCTACTTAGGGATGTTTAGAATTTTTATTTTCCGTTTCCATGGCAACAAGTTTGATTTTGACTCTGTTCGTAGTGGTGTGTACCTGACATAGAAATCATGGTTCCGAATCCCAATTCTAGGATATTGTTTTGATATCTCAATAACTACTCTTGTATATGGACAGACAGATTAGATAGAAATTCTCTCATCAAGTTGGACTTAAAGTAACAGTCAGATGATTTGTTCTTTCGAATTTGTGGGGGCCGGGGGGATTTCTTATCTTCTGATGACTCTTGTTTCATGACGTAAAGATCTCACATATAGATGTCATGGTAACAAATGTAACAATCTCCATCAAATCAAAGGTTGCATGAGTAGAAAGCACATTTCGACTTTCACTTTCGCGATCTTGTAAGCAATGCTCTGCTTGGTTGGATGAAAGGTCACGGACATTGTGTAATGGGATGTCTTCAGATCTTTGTGTAGCAGTAGCAACCACTAGGATCTGATTTTAATGAGATTACGAAAGTAAGGAATAATGAGCAAGATTCACCCAGGCTTGATAGACAGTAAAAATGCACTAATAATTTAGTTAATTACCACATCGATGATATTGAGAGCCAAAAAGGCCGTGTAAGGGCATATCGTTACCATGGTTTCAGATTGGTATGAGGGCATGGCTGGCCCTGTTGTTTAAGGTGCCGCAATTTGTTGTGCAGAGTTGCATCATGGGTAGAATCTCAGTTCACCCTGATCATGTTTCTGGGTTTGTCAGCACCATATCCATGCTCAAGGGCTTCCCAAAGTGGCGAGCATCTAACACCTACATTACAATCGGCCTTCCCCTCAGACTATTTTAACAAGCTTGGGCTTCGGACTTTGTGGCCTAAGTCGCAGACTTGATAGGGGGATAAAGTGAGTCTAGGTGCCGACCCAAGCATTATTAACCTTTCCTAAATAATTAATTTTCAGTAAAACATACTTTGAAACAAGTAATTGCCAAGCAACCATCCCTAATGTTTTAATTTAACCCCAACCCCTGCATTCAGTTGGTATAGCATCATTCAAAATGGTTTGTAGAAGGTTAATGTTTACCATAGCTAAATTATGTGTTGAAAACTAATCTGAAAATTGAAGCTGTTGCCAATTTGATCAACAATAGACAGACGATCAATAGAAACACAACATACACAAAAAAGCTCATGTATCGGATTAGCTGAGCCAGCGGTTTAATCAGGATTTTGATACTCAATTGAGAGCTTGACAACTTGGCAGCCAGCCAATAGCCTTGGCTGTAGGGAAACATGTATTGTTGATTAGCTTTGGCTGTAAGCCTAAAGGTGTTTTACAATGTGCAATATCATCGGTGTAAATCATTTAAGGCTTTCGCACACTCTGACCATTGATGCAAACTTCAGACTCGCAATTTCCCTTTGGAAGTTTTTCGTTCTTGTGAATATCTCAAAGTAGACATACATCCAAGCTGTTGAGTCATCAATGCAAACATGGAATTCATATGTCATGCTTCTGATTTAATTTACATGTATACCATATGCCTAGACAGTTATTGGATTATTTAGCTCACCTGGATGAAAGTTAAGAGAGCTTAGTCATGGCCTTTACGTCTGGAATCCAGTGTCATACATGTGTCTGGCATCAGGTGTGTCATACACTTGTCTGGCATCAGGTGTGTCATACACTTGTCTGGCATCTGGTGTGTCATACTCTTGTCTGGCATCAGGTGCGTCATACACTTGTCTGGCATCTGGTGCGTCATACACTTGTCTGGCATCAGGTGTGTCATACTCTTGTCTGGCATCTGGTGTGTCATACACTTGTCTGGCATCTGGTGTGTCATACACTTGTCTGGCATCAGGTGTGTCATACTCTTGTCTGGCATCTGGTGTGTCATACACTTGTCTGGCATCTGGTGTGTCATACACTTGTCTGGCATCTGGTGTGTCATACACTTGTCTGGCATCAGGTGCATCATACACTTGTCTGGCATCAGGTGTGTCATACTCTTGTCTGGCATCAGGTGTGTCATACACTTGTCTGGCATCAGGTGTGTCATACACTTGTCTGGCATCTGGTGTGTCATACACTTGTCTGGCATCTGGTGTGTCATACATGTGTCTGGCATCAGGTGTGTCATACACTTGTCTGGCATCTGGTGTGTCATACACTTGTCTGGCATCTGGTGTGTCATACACTTGTCTGGCATCTGGTGTGTCATACACTTGTCTGGCATCAGGTGCATCATACACTTGTCTGGCATCAGGTGTGTCATACTTTTGTCTGGCATCAGGTGTGTCATACACTTGTCTGGCATCAGGTGTGTCATACACTTGTCTGGCATCTGGTGTGTCATACTCTTGTCTGGCATCAGGTGTGTCATACACTTGTCTGGCATCAGGTGTGTCATACACTTGTCTGGCATCTGGTGTGTCATACACTTGTCTGGCATCTGGTGTGTCATACATGTGTCTGGCATCAGGTGTGTCATACACTTGTCTGGCATCTGGTGTGTCATACATGTGTCTGGCATCAGGTGTGTCATACACTTGTCTGGCATCTGGTGTGTCATACACTTGTCTGGCATCTGGTGTGTCATACACTTGTCTGGCATCTGGTGTGTCATACACTTGTCTGGCATCTGGTGTGTCATACACTTGTCTGGCATCTGGTGTGTCATACACTTGTCTGGCATCAGGTGTGTCATACTCTTGTCTGGCATCAGGTGTGTCATACACTTGTCTGGCATCTGGTGTGTCATACACTTGTCTGGCATCTGGTGTGTCATACATGTGTCTGGCATCAGGTGTGTCATACACTTGTCTGGCATCTGGTGTGTCATACACTTGTCTGGCATCTGGTGTGTCATACACTTGTCTGGCATCTGGTGTGTCATACACTTGTCTGGCATCAGGTGTGTCATACACTTGTCTGGCATCAGGTGGGTCATACACTTGTCTGGCATCTGGTGTGTCATACACTTGTCTGGCATCTGGTGTGTCATACACTTGTCTGGCATCTGGTGTGTCATACACTTGTCTGGCATCAGGTGTGTCATACTCTTGTCTGGCATCAGGTGTGTCATACACTTGTCTGGCATCAGGTGCGTCATACACTTGTCTGGCATCTCGTGTGTCATGTACTTGTCTGGCATCTGGTGTGTCATACACTTGTCTGGCATCAGGTGCATCATACACTTGTCTGGCATCAGGTGTGTCATACTTTTGTCTGGCATCAGGTGTGTCATACACTTGTCTGGCATCAGGTGCATCATACACTTGTCTGGCATCAGGTGTGTCATACTTTTGTCTGGCATCAGGTGTGTCATACACTTGTCTGGCATCTGGTGTGTCATACACTTGTCTGGCATCTGGTGTGTCATACACTTGTCTGGCATCTGGTGTGTCATACACTTGTCTGGCATCTGGTGTGTCATACATGTGTCTGGCATCAGGTGTGTCATACACTTGTCTGGCATCAGGTGTGTCATACACTTGTCTGGCATCAGGTGCGTCATACACTTGTCTGGCATCAGGTGTGTCATACACTTGTCTGGCATCAGGTGTGTCATACTCTTGTCTGCCATCTGGTGTGTCATACACTTGTCTGGCATCTGGTGTGTTATACACTTGTCTGGCATCAGGTGTGTCATACACTTGTCTGGCAACTGGTGGGTCATACACTTGTCTGGCATCCGGTGCCAACCTTTAGAGTCTACTTGCCCAACACGACGCTTAGGATATATTATCCCCCGCCACGAAATGGAATGTTGCTGATGCAGCAAAAAAACAACAGAAAACAATAATAACTCTTTCACTTCCTCTAATGTCCAGCAAAAAAATGACAATGTTTTTCTTTTACAGAAAACTCCAAGATAACTCTGCCTCATCAGCTGACGAATATCCCTCCGGCCTCAGAGTTCCCTTCTCTCAGACCTCGCTGGAACACCAATGAGGTCAGTGCTTGTGCTAGTTTTATTAGAGGAAATACGGTAGTGGAATACCAATGCGGTCAGTGCTTTTTCTAATTGTAATAGAGTCAGTACTTCAGTGGTCACCAATGATCAATGAGGTCAGCACTTGCTTTAATATAGGAAATACAGTAGTGGAATACCAGTGAGGTCAGTGCTAACTTTAATATAGGAAATACAGTAGTGGAATACCAGTGAGGTCAGTGCTAACTTTAATATAGGAAATACAGTAGTGGAATACCAGTGAGGTCAGTGCTAACTGTAATATAGGAAATACAGTAGTGGAACACCAGTGAGGTCAGTGCTAACTTTAATATAGGAAATACAGTAGTGGAATACCAGTGAGGTCAGTGCTAACTTTATTAGAGGAAATACAGTGTGGTATTTTAGTGAACGTGATCATACTGTCATAGTCTATCATTGTCTGTAACTATCTGTTTGTTTTGGTTTATTTTGTAAGTTCAATATCAAAACTATCTTGTTATTCTGATCTGATGTGTTTGTAGCAGCCTTTTAAATCTAATGGAGCCATTATAGTTTTTTTTTACGAGAAAAGATTCTGATTGGTATGGACAGTGTTATGATATTGTCAAGAATAAAATACTGATATGGATCATAATTTACAAAACATGTTGTGTCATATGGAAATAAAGTTTCTCTGAAAATTCATTCTATTTTATTGGAATCAACAGTGTTATGATATTGTCAAGAATAGACATGATGGAACACAAAAATGTACAATACATACTGTGTCCATATGGAAATAAGATTCTTTGAGTCGAATCAGTGTTCAAAACTCAGCATTGATGTTAAGACCTTAGTGGTTCTTGTCTTAACCCTGATCAAGATAATTCTATTGAATGTTGGAGATTGAAGGGACCATCCACCTCCCTTAACTTGGCACTAAATAGTAATCAAGGGAGGACTTTGTGACTTTAACAATGACAATTTGTTTTCAGGAGATAGCATCTGTGCTGATAGCATTCGATCGTCACAAAGAATGGCAGATCAGAGAACTCAAAATCAGGTATTTTCAATGTGTGCAATCTATCATGATCTATGATGCACAATTTATTAGAAAAAATGTTAATAATAATTGTCTATATGTGAATTCCTCATAACAGTGTATAATCTGCATGCAATATGGCTTGCCAGAGGCTCATATTTATTTGATGTTGTATTAAATGTCACGGTGAAGAGATGGATTTTCAGTATGAATGGAAAGTAGAGAGTTTGTGGTTGGAATTGACATGTCCCTTGATACTAAAACATAGACATTATATATTTTCAGTATTCATTTATTTAATGGAATTGATGAAAGGATTCCAATACATATTGTTCCAACTTTCCAGCATTCCAGTAAACTAAGCATTAACCTGAGGCCAGTGATTAACATGATTAATGTTACAAGTTGACACTAGTCTGCTAGTCTGAGGCAAGTTCAAATTAAAAGGGCAAGTAAATAATGTTGGACATTAACCCTCATCGTCTTTTGTTACAGCTAGCTGGGTTTGAACTAAATGCTAAAATGCTTTCCAGGGTTTGAGTCATTAGCATTAGAAATTAACTCTGGTTTGCAAATCTGATGCAAATTAACATTTTTTGGAAGGGCATTAGAAATTACACTGCTCTGCTAGCCTGAGCCAAAAAGAAGTTTGGATGGGCCAGTCATTAGAAAATCAACACTGGCATGCTAGGTTGAAACTGTGAAATTTTGGAAGGGCCTGGCAATAATTAGTGTTAGAAATGGTGTGGCAACTTTAGATTAGTGAAATTTAGAAGGCCCAGTGATTAGTGTTAGAGATTGTGTGCCAACTTCAGACACGTTAAATGTTTGAAGAGCCAGGTATTAGTGTTAAAAATGGTATGCCAACTTGAGACAGGTGAAATTTTGGAAGGGCTATTGATTAGCATTAGAAGGGCCAATTTTGATTAGTGTTACACTAACGCTGGACTGCTAGCATGAGTCAAGTGAAGTGTGGGAAGGGCAAATGGAATGTGGATGGTTGTTCAGCATTGGTTCATGGTTTCAGGCCTCCGAGTGGCTCCATGCTGCTGTACAGTCGGAACAAGGTGAGGTACCGCAAGGACGGCTACTGCTGGAAGAAGCGGCGAGATGGCAAGACCATCAGGGAGGATCACATGAAGCTCAAAGTGCAGGGGGTGGAGGTGAGGGGAACAACTGGGGCGTTGTGCTGTCACTCTGGCTTCACGCCCCACTCTGCAATAGTCTATCTGTATGACAGGTGTCCGATACATCAGGGTTGGAAATAATACTAGCCCACTTTCCCACTAACCCGGGGCTACTACAAATGCCTCTGGGCTAGTACAAATTCCTGTGTGCTTGTACAAATTTCCTAATTTCCCCATTGTTTTAACATTACTGGGATGCCAGGATTGAATTGATCCCACCACTCTGCTGGTTGTAAGCGTTGACCAGAATTGATCAGGGGGTCAGGCTCAGACGTGTCATTGTGCCCAGCTGGCATGGTTCGGTACTCGCAACATCATCACCGGATTGTCTGACCCAGACAGGATCATTTGGCCATTGATCTCCCCTCTAAAAAACATGTGACCTCCCGTTCATGAACAATATGGGTTCCTGACCCTATGTATCTGATACCCACCAACCCTTTTGACAGGTAATTGGGACCCATGAAGATCTGGGGTAGAATAGGTCTTCAGCAACCCATGCTTGTCATAACAGGCAACTATGCTTGTCTGAAGAGGCAACTAACGGCAACAGGTGGTCAGGTTCGCTGGCTTGGTTGATGCATGTCTTTGTATTTCCATTGCGTAGATCGATGCTCATGATGTCAATCACTGGATTATCTGGTCCAGACTCGATTATTTACAGACTGCCGTCATGCATTAATCAACAAGCGAACAATTAAATGTTGGTGGACACCTGAATAATTTGTTGATATTCAATTGATTGAGTCCTGATTGTGTTTGTTTTCAGTGTATCTATGGCTCATACGTGCACTCGGCGATCCTCCCTACTTTCCATAGACGCTGTTATTGGTTGCTCCAGGTGGGTGTAATGTGTAGTTTCTTACTGTTCAGTAAATAATAGTGACAGGTCCCTTTCCATGTTCACCTGAAATTCACCAAAAGCAGAGTCGATTGTACGATTCCGACAATGTCACGAGCATGTGTATATGAATCACTATCAAATAGTGATGATACCATGTTTCGCAAAAAGGTGAGTGTATTTTGTTTCACAGGTGGCACCCGTCACCAATACATACAAAGACAAGTCAAGTGTTTACCTGAAAAAACACAGGAAGATATGGTGTAAGTCAAAATAGGTAATTGCATCAGACACCATTTTTGTCACTGATGTGTCACATTTTTAAAACATTTTGAAAGCTTTACGGAGGCCTTGAATGTTGTAACCTTGATCAAACAACTTCTGACCAAGAGTCGTATGACGCTCTTTGAAATCTTGGAAGAAAGGGCATGCTCGATTGTAGCTCAAAGACATAAGGGAAAGTTGACTATTGGAAAGACACTCACATTACATTATGTTTCGCAACCCACACACCTGTATTAGTTTAAATAATATTGAAATGGACAATTTGCGATATATTGTACCTGTGTACCTGTATGGCCTGACCTGTTTCAGAATCCTGACATCGTTCTTGTCCACTACCTGAATGTCCCCTACCCTGACAACACCAAACTGAGCATTCCTGTTTTATCTTACGACATGGAGAAGAAAGAATGGACCAAGGAGGAACTTGTTGATCAGCTCAGGCCGATGTGTGAGTTGACAGAGGGCTTCGGAATTAGCTTTCTTGTTTAACGCCACACTCATCAATGTTCCAGCTGTACGATGTCAAACTGAAAATAATCGAATCTGGACCAGACAATCCAGTGTTTGACATCATGAGCATCAATCTAAGCATTTGGGATATGGTGACATGAATCAAGCAAGTCAGCGAGTCGGAGCACCTGTTAATCTGGGTTGCTGAAGATCAATTCTAATTGAAATGTTATCTCTTAGTCCAAGACTGATAAACTTCAGGAAGGACTCATTTCCTATCGTTGACTGCCGTGGTTACCATGGCAATTGTGGGGCGGTCGGGTAGCCTATTGGTTAAAGCGTTCGCTCGTCACACCAAAGACCCGGGTTCGAATCCTGATGGGTACAATGTGTGAAGCCCATTTCTGGTGTCCCCCACCGTGATATTGCTGGAATATTGCTAAAAGCGGCGTAAAACCAAACTCACTCACTCACTCACTCACTATGGCAATTGTAAAGCTGATCATTTGTACAGACTAGTAGAAGCAAAGATTAGTTAATTACCCTGGACTATGTTTTGAAGCAGTGAAAGAGTGTATTGTTTATTTGTGTGTTCATTGCAAGACACTGAAAAACAACTTGTTTTATATAGGGTAAGATCCAAACTGAGGCACGACGCCTAGCGTATATGCCAATAAACATAGTTACAAATTCTGATACATATTCTATGAATGCTACCTCATAATACTAAAAGAATTAGAAGACAAAATACCTGTATCCCAGGAACCATTCCCATCTTTGTGAAACTGGGAGATACTAAGGGAGATAATTTGGGCAGTTAATATGCAACCCACTGGTGACACAATGTCAGACATTGTCTGATGTTGAAAGCTTACATGAGTTCAATTGTTGATGTCAGAAACTGACAGAAAGAATTAAAAGCTTAAGACATTGTTGTATTCCTTGTATAGATGTTGATATTGTAGTAACAACAGTCATACTCCTTGAAATGAAGCTGTAACTGTGTCTCTTGTAGTGGCGTGTGGCAGGAGAGTGGATCTTGGTCCTGAGCAAGAACACATGGTGAGATCATTCATCTTGATGACGAGAGTAATTACTGTCAGGACTTGACTGATTCCCAGAAATACTGATTAACATCACAGGCATGGGTGGTCCAGTAGTCCAAGGCACTAAATATACCGTGCAGAGTTGCGTCCCTTAGGGTTGCCAGGAACCTATGATCGTTGGTTTGAATCCTGGATTCACTCTGATTATGTTTCTAGGTTTGTCCAAACGTTTATAGCTTTCACTAAAGTGGTGAACATCTAAGACCTGCATCGGGGTGGCCGGGGAGTCTAGTGGTTAAAGCATTCGCTCGTCACACCGAAGACCCAGGTTCGATTCCCGACATGTGTACAATGTGTGAAGCCCATCGTCGTGATAGTGCTGGAATATTGCTAAACGCGGCGTAGTACCATATTCACTAAGACCTGCATCACTTTGGGTTTTCCTCCCACATTAAGGTGACAAGCCGTAATATAACTGAAATACTGTTGAACGAGGTGTTAAACCCAACTGAGTGATTCTCCCTAAGCTCCAGTCTACGACTTTACCACTCACTGTGCACTTCCTCTGTGGTGTAGTGGATGGAGCACCTGCAAAGAGAGGAGAAGGTTCTGGCCACGTTTTACCAAAAGTGTTACCAGAGTGTTACCAGAGTGTTACCCTGCCTGGCACTCAGTATCAAAGGAATGAAACAAGGACTGGTGGGCTCAGAGTCAGTATGCTGTATCTGAGTGTACTTGAAATGGTACTTGTTGTTACCCTGCCTGGCACTCGGCATCAAAGGAATGAAACAAGGACTGGTGGGCTCAGAGTCAGTATGCTGTATCTGAGTGTACTTGAGATGGTACTTGTTGTTTCCTTGCCTAGCACTCGGTATTACAGAAATGAAACAAGGACTGGTGGGCTTAGAGTCAGTATGCTGTATATGAGTGTACTTGATGGTACTTGTTGTTTCCTTGCCTAGCACTCGGTATTACAGAAATGAAACAAGGACTGGTGGGCTCAGAGTCAGTATGCTGTATCTGAGTGTACTTGAGATGGTACTTGTTGTTTCCTTGCCTAGCACTCGGTATTACAAAAATGAAACAAGGACTGGTGGGCTCAGAGTCAGTATGCTGTATCTGAGTGTACTTGAGATGGTACTTGTTGTTACCCTGCCTGGCAGTCGGCATTAAGGGGATGAAACAAGAACTAGTCAGATATTCAGTTTGCCAGTAACAAACTGACGTCTAATCACTATTGTTGTGTTGACGTTGTGTTAACTGACTCGGGGTATCACTAAGGGTTGATATTCCTAGAAAAGGTTTTGTTGCACGGTTACAATATTGTTCCTTTTCTTGCAGGTTGAAGAAACAATTGAAGACTTTGTTCAACAGTTGATTAACCTTCGGCAGGACAAATCAGGCAAAGCCAAACCCCACAAATGCACTCCTTCCTGTGACAAAAACTTTCCTCATTCCAAATGCACCAAGGACTCATCACCTCCTAACACAGCCAGCCTGGCACACAATCGCCTAGTGTCCATGTTGCAGCGCCACACCCAACGCAGCGCCACCCAGTCGGTAGCCCCGCCCACTCCCGAGCTTCACACCAGCCAGGTGGTGATCACGCCCACTACGGCCCCCTCGTCCAACTCCACTCAAGACTTGAACCACACAGCTGCAGCTCCTGCTCCTCTCATTCTAAACCTAGCAAGTCTCCACGGCAGTAACGGTCTGATCTTTGTCAGCGGACATAACACATCACCCATCTCCATCATCAACAACTCTCTCACCACGCCCATTCACACCATCACCGCGGCAACCCTGGACACGCAGGGCCGTTTCCCTCAGCCTCAGATACTCCAAACCATTCCCCAAGTGCTTGCTGGTGTCAAGCAGGATGATAAATTGTCACAACATATTCACAATCTCCATGCGCATGACTCGAACAGAAAGTCTCCCGTTCCGATGAATATTGCAAGTGATGCTTTGTTGGAGCTGGCAGGCACCCAGCAGGATTCGAAGGATCTTTTTCTCGATCAAATGTCAGCTACAATCTCAGATACTCAGCGAAATCTCCACAATACATTAGACTCGCTCATTCGCGGGGACTGCTCGCACACTGTGGGAACACTAGTGAAAGATAATTCGGGGACTGATAATTGTGATACTCTTGATGGCAGCTTTTCCTCATTTCCCAGTACTGATCTCAATCTTGATTATCTTCTCGACTTGCCCGAACTTTATGACTGTCCTGATTTGCCCGACACAAATGCAAGTCTCGGGACGTCAAGTGGCGGAATGCCGACTTCTGTCCCGCTCATCAATTGTGCTAACTGCCTCAGCAACCAACAAGCTCAACAATCACAGCAGCAACGGGCAGAGTCGCATCAATCTTCAACATCGACGTCTGCTACGTCAGACACGCAGACAGCAGACAACACTCACTCACAGACTGACACAGACAGCAGCTTCTCTCAGGGCGTCATCACAGACTTCTCCCCTGACTGGTGCTACACAGATGTGAGGGGCATAGAGTTTCACATTTCCACCCAAACCAAGCTGCCTCTCTGTGATAATATTGAAATACTGTTCCAAGCGGTGTAAAAACCAAACTCACTCGCTGACAGATATGATAAATCCACTTCTGAGTAATCTTATCGGGATGTGTTCTAGTTTATGATTTGAGAGCAAGTACATTGAGGTAGCTGTGAGGTGTGCAGTAAACGACGGTTATAACAAACTCAAAGGGGCCACTGATTTTAGTTGATTATAACCGTGTTCGTTATAAACATATTTTACTGTACCTCCAAAATGTTGTTAAATTATTTATCATCAATAATCAATAATCAGCATGATTAGGGTTGACATGCCTGTGATAGTGTTGGCAGTGACTGATGAGATGTTATTGAGTGTTGTTGTATGTTGGAAGGGTGGCACAAAGATCCTGGTGACAGGCCCATGGTTCTCCACGTCCACGTCCTACTCTGTTGTGTTCAACAGTAAGACGGTGCCTGCTACACTTGTACAGGCAGGGGTTCTCCGGTGCTTCACTCCAGGTCAGTATCTCACACTTCTAAAGGGGGATTGTGGGCCCAGACTTGATTGTTTACAGGCAGCAGTCGTACAGCTGGAATATTGCTGAGTGTGGTGTTAAACAACACACACACACACACACACACACACACACACACACACACACACACACACACAGCACATGTCTTGCAGCACATGACGCCGGCCTGGTGACGCCGGCAGGTGGACAGACTCAGTGAATTGGTTGATTGAATGTTAATATACCCTGATTGCATGGAACCTTGATGTCATATGATGATGATGTCTTGCAGCACATGACGCCGGCCTGGTGACGCTGCAGGTGGACAGACTCATTGAATTGGTTGTTTGCGTGTTAATATACCCTGATTGCATGGAACGTTGATGTCATATGATGATGATGTCTTGCAGCACATGACGCCAGCCTGGTGACGCTGCAGGTGGACAGACTCATTGAATTGGTTGTTTGCATGTTAATATACCCTGATTGCGTGGAACGTTGATGCCATATGATGCTAATGTCTTGCAGCACATGACGCCGGCCTGGTGACGCTGCAGGTGGACAGACTCAGTGAATTGGTTGTTTGCGTGTTAATATACCCTAATTGCATGGAACGTTGATGTCATATGATGCTGATGTCTTGCAGCACATGACGCCGGCCTGGTAACGCTGCAGGTGGCCAATGATGGGTTTGTCATCTCCAACAGTGAGGTGTTCGAGTACAAGGCTCGGGAGAAGCACAGCACGCAGTCAGCTCACAACGAATGGTTCTCAATGGATTGTGAGTAGTTGTACCTCGGTATATTTTGCAGTGTTGGAAATTAAGCTTGACAGTCAAGGGGACTTTTGATTTTCCTCATATTAGAAGTCAAAAGATTCAAGTACCAGAGGCCCCCCTTTTGTTTTGAACACTGATTTTGGAACACGGGTGGTTCATTTGTCGAAGGTGTCACAGTTCAGTTTGCAATGTGGCAATAAAGGGCTGCTTTAAAGCGTTTGCTCAGTAATCAGAAGCCCAAGGTCTGTTCCCCAGCTTGGTACAATGTGTCCAACCCATTGCTGATATCGCCCTTATATTGCTGGAATAGTGCCAGTTGTGGAGTAAACTCCAACTAACTCACTCAGTTTGCAGAGTTGTGTCCCCTCAGCTGATTCAAGGTTCCAGTCCTAGATTCAGCCAAATTATTCTGCCTGTGCTCACGGTGTTCCACTAATGCCTTGTGTCTGTGACCTACCTCACTTTGGCCTTTGAGTGAGTGAGTGAGTGAGTCGGGTTTGACACTGCTTCCAGCAATATTCCGTCGGGGGACACCAGAAATGGGCTTCATGTGGGGAATCAAACCTGGGTCTTAGTGTGACGAGCAACACTTTAACCACTAGGCTACCCCAGCGCCCCCTGGCATCTTTGAAGTAACTGAATACCAGTAACTAGAAAGTGGCATTAAACCCAACCCACTCGCTGTTTGTGTGCCATTATGATACTGCTGCAACATCGCATATTGCCTCACAATCTCGGTACATGTGTAGAAGTGTGTAAATGTTTGCTATGTTCTTGTTTCAGCGACGGAGATGAAACTGCTGCTGGTGGAGAGGTTGGAACAACTGGAGAAGAGGCTCATGCCAGCTGACAAGAACACAACTTTCCTTGACAAGCAGGTGAGCTTTCCTTGACAAGCAGGTGAGCTTTCCTTGACAAGCAGGTGAGCTTTTCTTGAGAAACAGGTGAGCTTTCCTTGACAAGCAGTTGAGCTTTTCTTGAGAAACAGGTGAGCTTTCCTTGAGAAACAGGTGAGCTTTCCTTGACAAACAGGTGAGCTTTCCTTGACAAACAGTTGAGCTTTCCTTGAGAAACAGGTGAGCTTTTCTTGACAAGCAGGTGAGCTTTCCTTGACAAACCCTGTCTATGACACTGCCAACTGTAAATCATCAGTGTGCCAGGTATTTGGCCTTCCACTCTTTGAAAGAGATGGCTTAAGCATGATAGATGAGAGTGCATGCAAGTATCGTGGTATGTATTGGATCGTGAGCAAAGTATCATGGTATGTATCAGATCGTGAGCAAAGTATCATGGTATGTATTGGATCGTGAGCAAAGTATCGTGGTATGTATCGGATCGTGAGCAAAGTATCATGGTATGTATTGGATTGTGAGCAAAGTATCGTGGTATGTATCGGATCATGAGCAAAGTATCGTGGTATGTATCGGATCGTGAGCAAGGTATTGTGGTATATATCGGATCGTGAGCAAAGTATCGTGGTATGTATCGGATCGAGAGCAAAGTATCGTGGTATGTATCAGATCGTGAGCAAGGTATTGTGGTATGTATCAGATCGTGAGCAAAGTATCATGGTATGTATTGGATCGAGAGCAAAGTATCGTGGTATGTATCAGATCGTGAGCAAGGTATTGTGGTATATATCGGATCGTGAGCAAAGTATCGTGATATGTATCGGATCGTGAGCAAGGTATTGTGGTATATATCAGATCGTGAGCAAAGTATCGTGGTATTTATCGGATCAAGAGCAAAGTATCGTGGTATGTATCGGATCAAGAGCAAAGTATTGTGATATTTATTGGATCGTGAGCAAGGTATTGTGGTATATATCGGATCGTGAGCAAAGTATCGTGATATGTATCGGATCGTGAGCAAAGTATCATGGTATGTATCGGATCAAGAGCAAAGTATTGTGGTATTTATTGGATCGTGAGCAAGGTATTGTGGTATATATCGGATCGTGAGCAAAGTATCGTGATATGTATCAGATCATGAGCAAAGTATCGTGGTATGTATCAGATCGTGAGCAAATTATCGTGGTATGTATCGGATCGTGAGCAAAGTATCGTGGTATGTATCAGATCGTGAGCAAAGTATCATGGTATGTATTGGATCGAGAGCAAAGTATCGTGGTATGTATCAGATCGTGAGCAAGGTATTGTGGTATGTATCAGATCATGAGCAAAGTATCATGGTATGTATTGGATCGAGAGCAAAGTATCGTGGTATGTATCAGATCGTGAGCAAGGTATTGTGGTATATATCTGATCGTGAGCAAAGTATCGTGATATGTATCGGATCGTGAGCAAGGTATTGTGGTATATATCAGATCGTGAGCAAAGTATCGTGGTATTTATCGGATCGTGAGCAAAGTATCGTGGTATGTATCGGATCGAGAGCAAAGTATCGTGGTATGTATCAGATCGTGAGCAAGGTATTGTGGTATGTATCAGATCGTGAGCAAAGTATCATGGTATGTATTGGATCGAGAGCAAAGTATCGTGGTATGTATCAGATCGTGAGCAAGGTATTGTGGTATATATCGGATCGTGAGCAAAGTATCGTGATATGTATCGGATCGTGAGCAAGGTATTGTGGTATATATCAGATCGTGAGCAAAGTATCGTGGTATTTATCGGATCAAGAGCAAAGTATCGTGGTATGTATCGGATCAAGAGCAAAGTATTGTGATATTTATTGGATCGTGAGCAAGGTATTGTGGTATATATCGGATCGTGAGCAAAGTATCGTGATATGTATCGGATCGTGAGCAAAGTATCATGGTATGTATCGGATCAAGAGCAAAGTATTGTGGTATTTATTGGATCGTGAGCAAGGTATTGTGGTATATATCGGATCGTGAGCAAAGTATCGTGATATGTATCAGATCATGAGCAAAGTATCGTGGTATGTATCAGATCGTGAGCAAATTATCGTGGTATGTATCGGATCGTGAGCAAAGTATCGTGGTATGTATCAGATCGTGAGCAAAGTATCATGGTATGTATTGGATCTTGAGCAAAGTATCGTGGTATGTATCGGATCGTGAGCAAAGTATCATGGTATGTATTGGATCGTGAGCAAAGTATCGTGGTATGTATCGGATCTTGAGCAAAGTATCATGGTATGTATCGGATCGTGAGCAAAGTATCGTGGTATGTATCGGATCGAGAGCAAAGTATCGTGGTATGTATCGGATCGTGAGCAAAGTATCGTGGTATATATCGGATCGTGAGCAAGGTATTGTGGTATATATCGGATCGTGAGCAAAGTATCGTGGTATGTATTTGATCACACAGTTGTGTATCATCCCAGCCCTACAACAGTTTACCCTGAACTTAATCGAGTTTGCTGGGACTGACCATTGTCTCGAGCCTTGGCTCCCTTTAAGATGGGAACAAGTTCAATCCTTTCTTCACACAGCTATTTAACAGTATCAGAATAAATGTAGATACAAGTTTGAAACGAGAATCTGTCCCGGAGTGAGACGAGTGTTGTGACTTTGTTTGTTGTGCACTATTCCAGCATGCCCTGAATGTTGACCATGAGAACACCGAGTGTCGTCTTGTGCAGTATGTGGAGCACCTGGCTGGTCGACCCTGGCAGAAACTGGAGACTTACCCCAAGGCTGGCCATGGCGGACTGACTTTACTTCATCTTGCGGCGGCCCTTGGCTACGCCAAACTCATCAGCTCACTTGTTAGGTGGAGGTGGGTAGCACCAGTACAGGAATCAGTGTTGGAAATTAATGGGAGCCATGGTGTCCTTGAGGTTTGTTTCCATAGTGTTTGAATCCTGGCTCTCCTTAAAGCTTTAACTTGGCAGTAGTTATGACTGGGACCCCTTTTCTTCCATGCTTAATTTCCAACAGGGAGATTGAATAGTTGAATGAAAATAACAAACATGTATTTAGAATTGGTTCTTTGAAAGTCCCCAGAACATAATTCCGCAAATAATGGGTGCCTCGTACCCTTCCTTGTTGTAAGAGACGACTTAAATGAGGGTCTGGTAGTTACAGCGTGTGAGCTGACTGATTGTGTTCTATCATAACCCAATGCTGTGGGTTGTTGGTTGTGCTACTGGCCTCTGGTAAGCTGGGCCAAGACACGAATATTCCCAGGCTGCCATGATATAGTGAGAACATTACTGTTTTATGTGTCCTTGGTTCTGTGATGTTTGATGCTGCTGTGAACAATGTCCAGCTATGTCGTTGTTGCCTGCGACTGATGAAGTCTGGGCCAGACAAACTGGTGGTTGATATTATGAGCAACACCAAACGTCTTTGGTGAACAATGACATGCAATCAACCAGGTCACTGAGCCTGAACACCCAAAGAAAGTCGGGGAGCCTCTTAGGAGCCTCTGCTGCTGTTGCTGCTGCTGCTGCTGCTGCCGCTGATGATGATGATGTGCTGGGGACCTATTCTTACCCAGGGCCCCACAAGGATTGATTGATTGATTGATTGATTGATTGATTGATTGCAGAGTGATAATACTGTTTTCTCTTTCTTTGACAGATCTGACATCTCTAATTTAGTTTTAGAATATGAAGTTGATGCTCACAGTGTGGACAACCATGCCTGTACTCCATTGGTGAGAAGCTGATTACTGCAGCATTATGTTGATCATAGGCAGGAATTGATCTAGACCTGCTCACTATGAACAAAGAAGCTGATTACTGCAGCATTATCTTGATCATAAGCAGGAATTGATCTAGACCTGCTCACAATGAACAAAGAAGCTGATTACTGCAGCATTATCTTGATCATAGACAGGAATTGATCTAGACCTGCTCACAATGAACAAAGAAGCTGATTACTGCAGCATTATCTTGATCATTGATCTAGACCTGCTCACAGGTCGATATTTGGCACCAAGTTGGCAGCAACTGTAAACATTCCCGAATGAGAATACAAACTTTCCCAGTTCATGTTGATTTGGTTATAGGTCGTGGTTAGAGTGTTTGCTCGTCATCCCGAAGGCCCTGATTCGATTCCCCACATGGGTACAATGTTTGAAGCCCATTTCTGGTGTCCCCCGCCGTGATATTGCTGAAATATTGCTAAAAGCGGCATACAACCATACTCACTCACAGTTCTAAAGATACAATTGCACCTACGATTACTTACGATTGTGAAAGGCTACCAGATGTGGGAGTTGTTTGGCAAGACAACCTCACATAGCTTAGTTTGTTCCTGATGTCAGTGTTGAATGCTTTGGGCCTCAGCTTGTCTGCTAAAGTTTGATGGTACTTTGCAAGTTGTAATCATGGTATTGATACATGGCTGACCATATAGATGTACTCACTGGTAGTTTGTTGAAGTGAATGACGGGAGGGTGGAATGTTTCAGTTGTCTTCTGTAATCAGTGTAGGAATCCTACAGTCTTTAAACTTTAAGATGATGGCTTTGCCACCAACAATCTTAGCTCTGCAACTGTCGTAAGCCTGTATGGGAGGTACGATCACCTGAGTGCTAAGATCGCTTTGTGGAACGGGACCTAAACCACTTTAATTTCTTGCTTACCTTCACACTGGTCTGTTTCAGATGTGGGCATGTGCAAGAGGAAATATTGACGCTTCACTGACGCTGTATCATATCAACACGGGGCCACTCAGCATCTGTAACAAGGATGGACGTCTCCCGCTCACCGTTGCCCGAAGCAAGGGACATCACAACCTTGCCAATCAAATCGAGCAGTTGGAGCAAGCTCGTCTGCAAGCCCCGCCCCCTTTCCCCCCATGCACATCCACAGCATCATTTGCTGGCGCAACTTCTTCTTTCACAACCTCGGACTCTATCACTGCGTGTGAACTGTCACCAACTCCTTGCCATATATTCCCCAGTTCTCACAAAAACATTTGTGATGAGAAACAGGAAAACCTTCACATCGACATACCTCCTCCCCCTCCCTACCCAGGGGATTCCAAGCTCGTCCGGCGACTCAGTGAACAAGTCATTGGCACCTGTCATCGCCAACTTAGCAAACGCTATTCGGTGGATATATTGCCGAGTGGGGCAACAAACGACCAGACCTCGCCCCAACATGACGCTTTTCAGAAGCCAATTCGGGAGGCCAATTCTGAGCCACATCTGTCATTGGTTGGTGATCATCCAATCAGTGCAGTGACGGACTCTGCCTTGCTACCAGTTGCTCAACGTGATCTGGCATCGCCAGATATTCTCATGCAGACCGAGTCTTTGCTCAACACCATAGCGACGGAGTCTGGGAAGGAGACGGATGGTCTCCTCATGCAGATGGACACAGGTCAGTTGAATAGGAGTATGACAGTGTTGCAATGTTGCAGATATTGATCAGCTTGAAAATTAACCAGGGATCATGATTTTGCCAGTTTTTGTTTTTCTGTTTGTTGTTTAATGCCTCACTCAGCAATATACCAGCCGTATGGCGGTGGTCTGTAAGTAATCATTGGACCAGACACACCAGTGATTGACGTAATGAACTTCAATCAATGCAGTTGGGATATGAGGACGTGCCACAACCAAGTCAGCAAGTCTGATTCTGTCGGTCGCTTCTGTCGACAAACATTGGTTGCTGAAGACCATTTCTAACCCGGATCTTATGGGTGTAACAGGATTTAAAAGCTTGATAATGATCGAATTTGTGTGTCATTTCAACAATACCTTAAACAAGGCCTCAAAAAGGTCTTGGAAGTTTGTATTGGTGATTTTCAATGATACATGTCATGGTTATAGTATAAATATATCTACTATTATTTCAGCAAGTGCTGATGAAACATGTTGTACATGGAAGAGACCCATCAGCCTGTTTCTCTGCATGTCCTTCAGTGATTCCTCATGTTGTCAATCACTGGATTGTCTGGTCCAGACTCGATTATTTACAGACTGTCATCATAACACTGGAATATTGCTGAGTGCAGCATTAAACAACAAACCAACCAACCAACCTCATTGATTCTTAACATTTCTTGTGGATGAATGTTTCATTTGCCATGTTTGAATTTGCAATTTGATCTGCTCTTTAGTCGTGTAATCAGTGTTGAGTGTCTGTATGAGTAATGTCTATAATGCAAGCTCTGTACCTCTGTAGATGAGGTATCATCGGTGCGGAGTGACAGCCCTTTCATTGATGTAGAAAAGATCTCATCTGACGAGGAGGCGGAACACAAGGCAGCTGTTGCTGCTGCTGCTGCTGCCGCCGCCGCTGCTGTAGCATCTGGTGAAGGTTAGACACCATAACACACACATAAACACCATGCTTTAATGAGTTGCTCTTGAATCTAAAAATGTTACGCATTAAAGGAAGACTGTATTGTTTAAGCTTAACTCCGTTGTGGGTTTGAATCCCGGTTTGCCCTATTATGTTTCTGGGTTTGTCAGCACCTTAACAATGCTCCTGGGTTTCACCGACGTGGTAAACATCTATGACCTTTGTCACCTGGGGCTCCCTCCCACATCAAGCTGACACTCCCTGATATGACTGAAATGCTGTTCAAAGCAGTGTTAAACTCAAGCAGTATTAGCTGAACTTGTTTGAGATGTGAAAAATTAGAAGATAAACATCATGTGTTTTCATATTTGTAGGTGTTGTTGAGTATAGGCTAAAGCCTTTGGTTCCAAATGTAAAAACTTCTGGCTAAAAACACACAAATCTAAAAACACATAATGTTCTTTGATATCGTAAAGTACTCTGGACCCAACCATGACTGTAACTTCAGTTAAGAAGTGCCGTCACCCTTTCTCTCACCGCTAACATAGCACAGAATGTCGCATGATTTATTAACTTGATTCGACAGCTATTTTCAGCAGGTCACAGTCAGATTAGTGTCAGAACGATGCTGTGATCGGCTTTGGTAGTGAATGGGTCAAGGCTATTTATCCATGTAGAGTTGAGATATACTACTCAAAACAGGTTAAAGAATGCCCGTAATACTCAATAGGTGTTGCCATACCCGCCATCCTTGACAGGTAAACATCGGGTGTCACAGTCCGATTAGTGTCAGAACGATGCTTTGGTAGTGAATGGGTCAAGGCTATTTATCCATGTAGAGTTGAGATATACTACTCAAAACAGGTTAAAGAATGCCCGTAGTACTCAATAGGTGTTGCCATACCCGCCATCCTTGACAGGTAAACATCGGGTGTCCTTTAACTTCTGTAGAGCAGTATACAGTACACTGAATAATCAAGACATGACTAATGTACCTGACAACGCTATTAATCCTCATCCACTGACTGGTTTCCTGGGTCCAGATCTTTACAGGCCGTCATCATATACCTGGAGTATTGCTGAGTGTGGCGTTATACAAATTCTGTACCAAATTGTTTGCTGGGTCCAGATCTTTACAGACTGACATCATAAAACTGGAGTATTGCTGAGTGTGGCGTTATACAAATTCTGTACCAAATTGTTTGCTGGGTCCAGATCTTTACAGACTGACATCATAAAACTGGAGTATTGCTGAGTGTGGCGTTATACAAATTTGTACCAAATTGTTTCAGGTGGGGATCATGAAGGCAAGAACCAAATGGTAACCCTCGCCAACCAGATCATCGCAGCCATGCCGGAGCGTATCAAGCTGTCTCCTGCCAAGGAGGAAGAGTGTGGAGTGAGCAGTCGAGCTCGGAGTGAGTCCTACAGCTCGGCCCCGTCTCAAGGCTCACCTCCCACCTCATCCTTCGGGGATGATTCTGGAATCTCAACACCCATGACAGATAGTCTGGCCTTTGATGAGTACAGGTAGAAACATTTTTGTAGGCCAGATACATCATGATACATGGACTGGATATGACTTGAATGATGACAAAGCAACCTAAAACTCCCATCACTGTATTCCCGACTTTTGTATTGCAGGTACACAGACCTGGGCACCCCTGCCTCGTCCCTGAGCCCGGACTCTACCTGTCTGCCCAGCCCCTACAGCCCCTACAGTTCCTACAGTTTCACTCTGGACTCCCCGCCCCCCACCACTGCTGACTTCACCGAGTACTTCAACGCGCCAGCCACGTACATGGAGAAGGACTTTTCCCAACTCACACTCTCAGGTAGGGTCCCCTCTTCCCTATACACTGTTGCCAACCCCTGTGGAGATTCCAGGACAGAGAAGGTCCACAGCCTCCCATGTTTGTCTTTCTGACCCATGAAGATCCGGGGTAGAAGAGGTCTTCAGCAACCCATGCTTGCTGTAAAAGGCGACTATGCTTGTTGTAAGAGGCAACTAACGTGATCGGGTGGTCAGGCTTGCTGACTTGGTTGATGCATGTCATCGATCCCAATTGCGTGGATCGATGTTCATGTCAATCACTGGATTGTCTGGTCCAGACATGATTATTTACAGACTGCAGTCTTATGGCTGGAATATTGCTGAGTGCAGTGTTAAACAACATGAAACTGAAACTGTTTGTCTTTCTGTAGAGATTCCAGGATAGAGTAGTTCCATATTATGATTGGGTGGTTACGATGTACCCTGAATATATAATGATCCTATTATCAACCACTGACTTAGTCATTCAGACTTGGTTGTCAAGAGATCGCACTGATAAGGCTGGAATTATTTAACAATAATCTTCTTCTACCACTTCATAAGTATCCTTCTCTCTATTCAGATCAGGAACAGAGAAAGCTGTACGAGGCTGCCAAAGTGATCCAGAATGCGTATCGGCTGTATCGGGATAAACAACAACTGCAGCAGCAGCGACAGAAGGAGATAGAAGCCGCCATCTTGATCCAGAGCTACTATCGGCGATACAAACAGGTACTGGCGGACTGCTGGCACAAAGTATTGCTCTGCCATGAACCTTCGGTGAATTTGTCAGTTCTAGTTATCACTCCTGTATCAGAGTATATTGTTAGAAAATTATCTGACACTCTTTCATGTTGGTAAGGACTGATGACATGGTCTAGTGGATCGAGCATCTGCCCAGAGACTGCCTTCGTGGTCTATAGGATAGAGCATCTGCCCGGAGACCGCCTATGTGGTCTATAGGATAGAGCATCTGCCCGGAGACTGCCTGAGTGGTCTAGTGGATAGAGCATCTGCCCGGAGACTGCCTACGTGGTCTATAGGATAGAGCATCTGCCCGGAGACCGCCTACGTGGTTTGATTTTTTCTGCCATGTTAGGCATACTTTCAGTGATACAACTAAAATACTGCACAAAGCAGCGTTAAACCCAACTCACTCACTCACTCACTCTGTATATTTCAGTATGCATACTTCAAGAAGATGACCCAGGCAGCAGTGTTGATCCAGAATCAGTTCCGGAGTTACTACGCACAGAAACGTCTCAAGAAGAACCGAGACCCTGCGGCTGGCCTGCAGCGACAAGGACCGGAGAGACTGAAGAAGGGCCGCAACCAGTCCGTGATCATCCAGCAGAGATACAGGTGTGTCTTCACCTCCAGTATGGTGGCCCAGTGGTCTAAGGTCCTGTGAAAAGTTGTGTCCCTTGGCATGCCAGGATCTGCTGGTCATGGTTTGAAGCCCAGATTGTTATGGTAGCCCAGTGGTCTAAGGTCCTGTGAAAAGTTGTGTCCCTTGGCATGCCAGGATCTGCTGGTCATGGTTTGAAGCCCAGATTGTTATGGTAGCCCAGTGGTCTAAGGTCCTGTGAAAAGTTGTGTCCCTTGGCATGCCAGGATCTTATTATTATTATTATTATTATTACTACTACTACTACCATGCTGCTGTGCCTTGTTCCAGGTCTCACTATCAGAGGAAGACGGAGAAGGAGGGTCGACAGTTGTCGGCTGATGCAGCAGATAGGTAGGTTGTTTACGTCAGCCCATGCCGGGCATGGGAATGGAGTGCACCCTTTACTGACATAACATACCCTTGGAACCTAATGTATTCGCCGTAATGAGCTCCGTGGTGCTTAGAAAATGGACAAAGGTGGTGGGTGCTTAGTAAGACAACACAAAAGGTTACTGAGATCGAGCAGTAGTTCAAATGTTGATGAAACTAAATCTTTGTCAATAATAATCCCATTGTAATTATAAAGCCCTTCTGAGCTGCTGTTGTCTGTTGGGTATCATGTCATATACACCAGAAAATAGGCACTGTCACTTTTGGTCTTCTTGGGGTGCTTGTAAAGCTTACTAACAGATAGGTGTAGAAGTTGGTCAGGGGCTTACTATGGTGAATACGGTAGTTGGAACCTTACTTTAGTAGGAAGTACCCCAGGCTAACAAAATAAACACAATTGGTTCTCATGGCAACTGAATGTCGACTTGATCAGAGCCAAACATAAATAAGTTGAACTGATTGAAGTTCTACAGGACACAACTGCTTGCCGTAATGTGGTACATTGATTTGCACTGTTGTACATTGTAATATGATCTTGTGTAGGGACATCTTTAAATGTGAAATCTGGTGTCAAAAGGTTTATAACCAATTGAAATCTGAACCTAAAGTCCTGTTTGAATTTAACCATGTTCTACAATGTATCTGTTTTCTTCACTTCATGCTAACAGAGATATATGGCAGCTTGTGCATGCAATTAGGGTAGGTAACTGGTGTGCCAAGCTGTCATTCATTGATGCCTGCTATTGATGGGTGTGCATTTCACCGTCGTCACAGTTTGATGTGGTTTTGTGAACTGTATTGTGCTCTGTAATTTCCTGCCTTTATTTTCGGTGCATACTGTGTCATAAATATTGTCTTAGACATGGTAGTCTGTTGCACAGCTAAAACCTTTCCTGAGCATTTCAGCATAATGTACCCCAGAATGTTTGCTAGGACCAGTATGTTGTAAGTTTTCTCTGTTTGATGTGTGAAATATAACCAAGTCGGACATTTCTTTCAGATTTTATTCCTTCAAACCATGGGTCAGTGGTCAAAATAAAATTAAAAGAAAGTTTGAATTAAAGCCATAATTAGATGGAGGAATCAGGTAACTCTTAAACCTTTTGGCTCCAGTTCTTAATCCTACTTGCTCAAGCTGTTGGTTGGGACGAAGGGTATGAAAATACAAATAAATGCCTTCAGACATACGTTTTGTAATCAGTGTTTGGAGAAAGTGACATCAAGGCCTCGTAGAATTCACACATGATTGGCCTGTCTTCCGGGTCTATTCCAAACATTCAACATTGAAGTCCTTAAGAACTTGTCTCAGGAAATGTAGAATAGTATGTTTTGGCCTTTTTAGAAAATCCATCAATTAGCATTTGAACCCTTGAACAATAATTGTAATGATTGTTTGTTCTTTGTAGTGGTCTGTTCAGTTAAGGGAGTGCACCTTCTAGATTCTTAACAGTCTCACCTGCACTTGTGAGCCTTGACACGTTACCAGAGATGCTGTGATCCACTGAATGAGTGTCCTGTGTTAGTGATACAGTGTTGTACATTAACAGTCTCACCTGCACTTGTGAGCCTAGACACGTTACCAGATGTGCTGTGATCCACTGAATGAGTGTCCTGTGTTAGTGGTACAGTCTTGTACATTAACAGTCTTGTACATTAACAGTCTCACCTGCACTTGTGAGCCTTGACACGTTACCAGAGATGCTGTGATCCACTGAATGAGTGTCCTGTGTTAGTGATACAGTGTTGTACATTAACAGTCTCACCTGCACTTGTGAGCCTTGACACGTTACCAGAGATGCTGTGATCCACTGAATGAGTGTCCTGTGTTAGTGATACAGTCTTGTACATTAACAGTCTCACCTGCACTTGTGAGCCTTGACACGTTACCAGAGATGCCATCCATTATGATTTCGATGGATTCTTTAGGATGTTTTTGACCAAATTCTGCCAATACTCCAAGTGACATGTATTACAAATTTTGTAAGACAAAACAACCAGTAATTTAGCCTGGTTATTGACCTCACTGCATTGTCACATATACAACCATGTTATAATCACACATAATCACCAGTTTTAACTTGGGTTTGGGTGATAAATGCAATACAAAAGATGTTGAAATCATCAAAGCGTAACAGTTTATTTCACACCCCAGCTGTCCCAGGTACTCCGAATTTCTTCAATTTCTGGGTGGCATCTCAGCATCTGATTTTGTTTAGAACTAAATTGTATGCTGTGACTGACTCTAGAATGTGATTTCTGCTTGTTGTCTTGTGATTCTGGCATGCTGTGATTGGTGCTTTCAGAGATCCAACCATTGTGTCAATGCTAATGAGATGAAGGTACATCCTGCATATACAACATGTAGCCTGGCTTGTTTCATGCCTTTCTCCTAGTGTAGATCTCTGTAGCCTTCTACTAATATTACATCCTCGTGAAGATCTGGGTAGAGAATAGGTCTTTAGCAATCTATGCTTGTTGTAAGAGTCGAATAACGGGATCGGGTGGTCAGACTCGCTGACTTGGTTGATGCATGTCATCGGATCCCAATTGTGTGATCTCCTTCTCCTTCTACTAACAGTACCCCAGTAACTTGTAAAGATTCCGGGTTAGAATAGGGCCCCAGCAACCGATGCTGGTCGTCAGAGTGGATTTAGTGGATGGGAGGACAAGCTCGATGATTTGGCTTGTGTGTTGTAATCCCAGATTTACCCGTGATAATCAGATTATGATCCTTGGGTTGTCAGTACCATATCCTTGATTCCTACATTCACTAAAGGGCTTCCGTTCATGACCTGTGTCACTTTCGGCCTTCTTCCAACGTTAAGCTGATGCACCATCATGATGATGATGATGATGTGACTAAAAAACTGCTCAAGTCAGCTTTGGGCCTCAGTTCACTCACTCACTATACTTACTTAGTGTTGAGGCCCCAGTCGTTAAAGGCGCCGCAGTTTGCTGTGCGGTCGTAGTGCTGAGATGACTATGTTGAATGTAGCCCTGGGATAGGTTACACAAACCAATCTTAGCACTAAGATGATTGTAACTCCCATGCTTTAACATCAGCTTACGACAGTTGTAGCACTATGATCGCTTGGTGGAATGTGGGCCTGTATGCTAAACCCACGATGCTGTGTTTCCTGTTCTCTGTGTCATGTATTTTTTCACAAGTGTGACGTTAGTTGTCTGCAGCACCTTCGCTTATACAATCTACTCTACATACGTCAGCTAAATGTCATATTGCTTATAGTGGATTCTTTTGCTTAGTCACATCAACTTTGCCCATATGCTTTGTTCCCCATCTTTGTGTAAGTTGCCTCTTTCCATCTCTGTCATAAGAGGCAGAGACTGCCTCCCTGGTCTCATGGTAGAGCGTCTGCCCGGAGAGCGGAAGGTCGTGGGTTCGATCCCCGGTCGTGTCATACCAAAATACATTAAAAGATTAAAAGTACTTGTTGTTACCCTGCCTTGCGCTTGGCATTAAGGGACAAGGACAGGTCAGCTTGGAGTCAGTATTCTGTGTCTGAGTGGGGTAATATTGTTAAACTGTAGCATGGTATCTCAGTGGGCTGAAAACTATGAAACCAGCATTAGTCCAGACTAGTACAAGCAGCCACACACACACACACACACACACACACACACACACACACACACACACACACACACACACACACACACACACACACACACACACACACACACGTGCATGCACATTGTTACATAAGTGCAATAATCTTTGATGTGACATTAAACCCCATTTCACCTCCCATAAGAGGCAGTGACAATAGGAATCAGTTTCTTACAATCGTCATACAGCGACCTTAGTAATGTCACTAAGTCTGGGGTATCTGCTCCAGCCTTGGACCTCTTCCACAAGGCAGTCATAACACCATGGTGGTCGTAAGTCTGTGTTAGAGTATGGGAGTTGGGATAGTCTTAGTGCTAAGATTGCAGTCATAACACCATGGTGGTCGTAAGTCCGTGTTAGAGTATGGGAGTTGTGATAGTCTTAGTGCTAAGATTGCAGTCATAACACCATGGTGGTCGTAAGTCTGTGTTAGAGTATGGGAGTTGTGATAGTCCTAGTGCTAAGATTGCGTCGTGGTACAAGGCAGTGTGGCGTAAAACAACATTCACTCAGTCTCCTGATATGAATTTATTAGAAAATGTTGGAAGAGACCTCAGTTATTGTGTTTTGAAAAACATAATTCATAAATAAAATTCACTTATCTCTTTGTCATACTATTTTTTTATTTATTGTTTAACAGTTATTGTGATTATTTTGTAATACAAATTTTAGTTCAAGACCCTTCTAGGTTCAACTGGTCAGTATCAAGTTCGTTTATTAACCACTGATCTCCGACCTCTATTGCAGCTCCCCACCCCCCGAGCAAAGCAGCACATCCAGAGACGGAACCCCACCAGTCGATGCTGAGCCAGATATCCCCTACCCAGAAGAAGAGGATGGGTGAGCCACCGTCAGGGACAGACACGCCCACCCACTGCTGGATCCGTGACTGGGCATGGCTGTTCATCTTGGTGACACCCTCGGGAGGACAACCTCTGTCTGAACCACAATGCCCATGTCACGCTGTGTTCAACTGCTTAGGTAGCAATGGCCTCCGGAGGACTTGTGAAGGAACAAGCTGTCGTTGTTGTCAGGTTGAGCCGTGTCGTTCTTTGACATGCCTCGTCAGTATGGGTTGGGACGTGATGTAAAAGGGTGTGTAGCCTATGTATGTGTGACACCGGCGTTGTGAACAAGCTGTGGAAATAGGCTTGCTGTGAAATACCCACAGTTTCAGCCCTTTGCTGTTTCAAGTTTGTCATGGCTCGTCGTGGACTTTCAGGTTTGATTCGTGACAAATAGCTGCCAACTGTCCCATTTTTTTAATGTTTTTGTTACGAATTTGCAACTTTTGTCCTTAATTCCTGTTAAGAATATGCCAATCTACATAAAAATATCACAAGGTTTCAATTTTCATAGACACTGATAAAGAGAGGGTCATTATTTAGCCTTACACCGTCAGCTATAAATGCTTCATGTTTATCGACTGGTATATCATCATATTTATAGGGTTGCATTTGTTCAATTGAGACACTCCACGGTATTATTGAAAGTTGCTTAAGTCGAGATAGAAACAAACTTTAAAATTATGAACTGAGTTTCGGAATCACATGGCTGTATTGTATTGTAGTCGATTCATATCGTCTGGCTTTGTTGTCAGTTAAAGAAGATTGTTGGAAAATACTAAACTGGGAAAATTGGCAGCTATGGTGACAGATCCTGCCATTTAAGTTCATGTTTGTCAGCCAATGTATCAGTGACAAGCATGAGCCACATTGATATGAACAGGTCTTCAATTTTCCAATGGGGAAAACGTGCAGCTGATTGACTCTGGACACGCCCATCCTCCACTGGACTCTCCGCCTAGTGGCCCCGCCTTCTCCTCAAGGGTGCCCCGCCCTCTTCTCTACCCCTGCTGTGATTGTTTCTTCAAGCTGCACCTCGCAGACACTGCTCAACACTGGACTACTCTCTGTTCTCAATTGTTTCCGCAACTTGAGATGACTCATCAACGTATTCAACAACAAGTGGTTTACCTCAACAGAGAATCAGTGGGCGTGGTGGGTAAATGACATTTCAGCAGTTTGACAAGTTGACAGGTAAACCTGCAACAATGAGATATGATTTGACATAATATTGTTATGTAGAAACATTAACTATATCATATTCATAAAAGGTATATTTTCCTGCTTGTGTGTTTCAGCAAATGGTATTATTTCAGTCCAGATATTTCTTAGTTCCAAATAATTTGATAATTATTTTATGAAATTATCGGTGAACAGAATTCTATGAAATGATTGTTTGGGAAATTCCATCAAGACAGAATATGAACTGTTTGATAGGTATAACTTTGAAGTTGACGGATGACAAAGTAGAGATAACATATGGATAACTTCTTTATTAACTGTAAAGGCGATGTTTGCAATGACAACGGTATAAGAACAATACCGAAACATTGCCTTTACAGTAAATAAAGGCATTAATTAACTCTACTTTGTCAAGACAGAATGTATCTAAATTATTCCCCTAAGAACTTTATTCAGTGAACGAAATATTGTTGGGAAATGTTTCTGAAGAACATTGTATTAGCAGTCCAAATGTCAAGATATCAGGACATGCATGTCACAGTGTTGTAGTAGTAGAGTATTGGAATCCATTGGACGAGGTAGAATACAGGTACTAATGGCTCACTGAAAAAGTCAAATTGTAAGGTTCTATGGAAGTTTGAAATCCTGAGACAACACAGCTGACAACTAGCCTTTGAATAGCCTAGTAGTTTAATTAGGATTTGACTTCAAGAGAAAACTGCTTTAGGTGGCATCCTGTTGGTGACAATTGCCATGATCTTACCTCCTCCTCTGACTTCCTATCTATTGCACAACACGTGTCCGTCTTGGGCATCTCTGTGTTTCATTGACCCTACTGTCCTGTCCACTAGTTACGACTGGAGTGTTGCTAGCTGTGGTATTAACCAGAGCAGTGTTCTTAACCAACATCCACAAGATGGCCCTTTTGATTTTTCAAGGTCAAACATGGTTGATTGTTTGTGGCTCCTGACATTGGTGGGTATCGACGTGATATAATTAACCCAAACCATGATGAGAGAAGATTGGGAAGAGTGGCGCCATATTGAAACAAATAGGCCGAACAAACCCTGGAGATAGTTGCCTTTGTTCCAACCGGAACCTTTTCTGGTTAGAACCAAGGTTTGATACAGTTCTCTGTTGGTAACCGAAGACATTTGGGTTGTACAGCCGATGGGTTGGGTTGTACAGCCGATGAAACGCTCATGTTAAGTCAGCTGTTGATGGCTCACAGACATATCATGATGTTGCATTCAGCATTGTCTATTTCCTGTTTCTGTGATAATTCCCCATGTCCTACTTACGCTGTTAAACTGGTCTTTCATTTCTCCACTTGTTGATGACATCAGTTCCTAGGTATTAAAGATGTTTCTTGCATGTTACTTAACTGTTAATAGCCTTGCTACTGACTCGTTATGTTTGTAATTAAACTGTACAGCCAGTTGTTGTCAAACTTTGAAATTATTCCAATTTAATCCCAATTTCTAGTTAATGCAAAGAAATATGCATGTTGAAATATTTATATTTTAAGGTCATCTTTGCACATGAATATAAGAATCACCACGCAACATATATGGCCACAATGTGTGTTATGAGCATGTCAGGAAAAGAAAATAGCAACTGTTACGACTGAGCTTCTAAAACTGTTTTAAAACAAACCTATAATATTTGGATTAGAAACTCAGTTATGTTTTATGTTTTCATATTTGCTTTTGTTTGTACAATGATTAAATGCTTAAGTAGCATAAATTCATTAAAGGAGCACTAGGCTCTGGCTTCTGTGCTGACACTGCCCCCATGGGCTCATCAGCTGCTTGGAGCTGATTGGCTGGCTGAGGCAACTGAGAGGACGTGACACTGCCCCCATGAGCTCATCAGCTGCTTGGAGCTGTTTGGCTGGCTGAGGCATCTGAGAGGACGTGACACTGCCCCCATGGGCTCATCAGCTGCTTGGAGCTGATTGGCTGGCTGAAGCAACTGAGAGGACGTGACACTGCCCCCATGGGCTCATCAGCTGCTTGGAGCTGTTTGGCTGGCTGAGGCAACTGAGAGGATGTGACACTGCCCCCATGGGCTCATCAGCTGCTTGGAGCTGATTGGCTGGCTGAGGCAACTGAGAGGACGTGACACTGCCCCCATGGGCTCATCAGCTGCTTGGAGCTGATTGGCTGGCTGAAGCAACTGAGAGGATGTGACACTGCCCCCATGGGCTCATCAGCTGAGTTGATTGGCTGGCTGAAGCAACTGAGAGGACGTGACACTGCCCCCATGGGCTCATCAGCTGCTTGGAGCTGATTGGCTGGCTGAAGCAACTGAGAGGACGTGACACTGCCCCCATGAGCTCATCAGCTGCTTGGAGCTGATTGGCTGGCTGAAGCAACTGAGAAGACGTGACACTGCCCCCATGGGCTCATCAGCTGCTTGGAGCTGATTGGCTGGCTGAAGCAACTGAGAGGACGTGACACTGCCCCCATGAGCTCATCAGCTGCTTGGAGCTGATTGGCTGGCTGAAGCAACTGAGAGGACGTGACACTGTAGGAGGAGTGGACATGCTGTGTCATGTTTAGGACAGTCAGCCTGCCCACTGCTCAACATGAAACACCTTGAAAAAGCCAGCCAATTCTGAAGGCTTGAGCCTAGTGACCCTTTCAATTCTAAAACTACCATAGATGCAATGTTCATGAATTTGTAATTTTTGATTGGCTCTAATCATGACACACATGACCTTGAATCATTTCATGACAGAAATAGTTTCCTAAATAATATTGTTATCACTGACCTGAGCAACATGAACAATGGTTTTTGCAGCATATTGTGTTGGTAGAGATTATGCGTGCCTGTTACTCAGTGTCCACACCAGAGCTTCGTATGACAGTAAGAAGGGGTTCACGCAGGTGGATCACCTGCTTTAACACTGAGTGTCCACACCAGAGCTTCGTATGACAGTAAGAAGGGGTTCACTCGGGTGGATCACCTGCTTTAACACTGAGTGTCCACACCAGAGCTTCGTATGACAGTAAGAAGGGGTTCACTCGGGTGGATCACCTGCTTTAACACTGAGTGCTCAGCTTCACAAATTGCCAGTGTTGTTGTAGGGAGGAGAGAATTTCATGTTTTCCTAAATCTAGTTTTTTATATTTGGAGACTTTGTTTCTCATCGTCATCAATTGAACGTTGAATGTGGATGTTTATCAAGTCCCCTTGTTGTGTGTAGTGATGGATGGAGAATGTTGAATGTTTACTTTGATTTACTTGAACAAATCTTTGACATGAAGCGGATCTACATGATTGTTAGTATGAAGGCTCTTATCCAAGGCATATGTTAAAATTCTCTTACAGTCTTGTGTGTGCACTGATCATGTAGATTAGGTTTTTCGTCCTATTTTTCGTCCTATTTTTCGTCTGTCTAAATAGTTTTTTGGATGACAAAATTAGAATTAAAACAAATGTGAAAAGCTGTGTTCCCTACAACGGAAGCTTCCTTTAACCTTTAACCTTTAACCTTTAACCTGATTTTTGTTTAAACATTTAAGCTAAGGCCCTTTTTGTGGTCAATAATACATTTGACCTTTTGTCAGCACCTTTTTGCTGTTTAAGACATCAAAATCACTTGGATCAAAGACTTGCTCCTGATCAAATATTAGAAAATTCATCTTGAAAACCATGTAGACATCTTGTACAGCATTTTGCATCTGAAGATATTGTCCCAGAGACTCTGTAACACAAGACAGAGAGTGTTACACTTTGCTGGTCAGTAAGATCCTGTTGTCTCAAGTACAAGCTATTTCTCTCCCTCCAGCTCTAGGGTCTTGTGTCCATCATTTCTTATAGAGATATTACTTTAAAGAGATGAAGAATGCTATGTCAGACTTGTTGTAGGGGGTCTAGTCTCTCCTGTTGTGCAGGTATGCTTGTTTCTTCAATGAGCTATTAAAGGGGTACTCCGCTCCAGGGTTTGTGTCCATTCCAGTGTAGATGTTGTAATGCTGGAGTTTCTGCTCTTAGTGGTGATCATGTGACAAGGATACGCCATAGGATGCACTGGGTCACAGTTTGAAATAGACATTGGCTGGCCCGTAGGTCCGAGACCGACAGATTTGTTCTCAGGCTGATAGTTTTAAATTTCAGCAAGCCCTTATGGCCTACAGTTTGTTCAGGTAATTATTTATTAAGCATTATTTAAGAAATGTGATAAACATAACTTTCATGTTTATAAGTGGTAGGATTAGACCTTTCGAATGGTGTTTGACATGTAGTCGCAAAGATGTTTTACAAGCTAATGATTTCCTGATAAATGTAGGCTTCATCTATCACAACTGCGTCTGTGGGAACTCGGTGTGATAGCTGTCAAGGCTTCTGGTTGACTGATTGTGTTTTGTAATTTAAATTGCAAGTGTATGTCTCCCTGCTTCAGCTAAAATGTTTGGGCCTACAGTTTTTCCACAGGGCCTACAGTTTTTCAAATGGGCCTACAGTTTTTCAACTGGGCCTACAGTTTTTCCACAGGGCCTACAGTTTTTCCACTGGGCCTACAGTTTTTGAAATGTGCTGGCCCTTAAGGCTCTCAGTTTACTCTGCTAGTTTCAGATCCAGTGATCTAGATATGTAATGTATCCACAGGTCCTTACATCATGGTGACTTCTCCTGAGTATACAGAGTGTCCATCCCTCGATAACCAGCTGGTTGCTGACATCAATCTTTAGACGTATAGCATGTCCCTTGTCACATGATTGGCCTAAGTTAGAATTGCGAGAGATCTCGTTGACTGGACTAGGACTAGGAGTGTCCTGTGTCACATGATTGGCCTAAGTTAGAATGGCGAGAGATCTCGTTGACTGGACTAGGACTAGGAGTGTCCTGTGTCACATGATTGGCCTAAGTTAGAATGGCGAGAGATCTCGTTGACCGGACTAGGACTAGGAGTGTCCTGTGTCACATGATTGGCCTAAGTTAGAATGGCGAGAGATCTCGTTGACCGGACTAGGACTAGGAGTGTCCTGTGTCACATGATTGGCCTAAGTTAGAATGGCAAGAGATCTCGTTGACTGGACTAGGACTAGGAGTGTTCTGTGTCACATGATTGGCCTAAGTTAGAATGGCAAGAGATCTCGTTGACCGGACTAGGACTAGGAGTGTCCTTTGTCACATGATTGGCCTAAGTTAGAATGGCGAGAGATCTCGTTGACCGGACTAGGACTAGGAGTGTCCTGTGTCACATGATTGGCCTAAGTTAGAATGGCGAGAGATCTCGTTGACCGGACTAGGACTAGGAGTGTCCTGTGTCACATGATTGGCCTAAGTTAGAATGGCGAGAGATCTCGTTGACTGGACTAGGACTAGGACTAGGAGTGTCCTGTGTCACATGATTGGCCTAAGTTAGAATGGCGAGAGATCTCGTTGACTGGACTAGGACTAGGACTAGGAGTGTCCTGTGTCACATGATTGGCCTAAGTTAGAATGGCAAGAGATCTCGTTGACCGGACTAGGACTAGGAGTGTCCTTTGTCACATGATTGGCCTAAGTTAGAATGGCGAGAGATCTCTTTGACTGGACTAGGACTAGGAGTGTCCTTTGTCACATGATTGGCCTAAGTTAGAATGGCGAGAGATCTCGTTGACTGGACTAGGACTAGGAGTGTCCTGTGTCACATGATTGGCCTAAGTTAGAATGGCAAGAGATCTCGTTGACCGGACTAGGACTAGGAGTGTCCTTTGTCACATGATTGGCCTAAGTTAGAATGGCAAGAGATCTCTTTGACTGGACTAGGACTAGGAGTGTCCTGTGTCACATGATTGGCCTAAGTTAGAATGGCAAGAGATCTCGTTGACCGGACTAGGACTAGGAGTGTCCTTTGTCACATGATTGGCCTAAGTTAGAATGGCAAGAGATCTCTTTGACTGGACTAGGACTAGGAGTGTCCTGTGTCACATGATTGGCCTAAGTTAGAATGGCAAGAGATCTCGTTGACCGGACTAGGACTAGGAGTGTCCTTTGTCACATGATTGGCCTAAGTTAGAATGGCAAGAGATCTCGTTGACCGGACTAGGACTAGGACTAGGAGTGTCCTGTGTCACATGATTGGCCTAAGTTAGAATGGCGAGAGATCTCGTTGACCGGACTAGGACTAGGAGTGTCCTTTGTCACATGATTGGCCTAAGTTAGAATGGCAAGAGATATACATAATAAAATTTGACTTGACAGATAACTGAAACAGAATCAAACTTGCTGGGACTGCCATTTGCTTCAGCAAAGTACCCCTTTAAAGAGCAAATGTTGATTTTCAATGCAAGGTTAGGACACTTAGTCATTTGTCTTGCAGGTTATTGTGTCTTTCTAACACTGAAGCTCTTTGCTGCACAGATAAGGTTCCCATTGAAGTGTTTGCTTGTTAAACTGTTATTATTTGAAAACGTAAGTCATAATGGTTGAAGGTACATAGTGTC